TTGGATTAAGGACATTTATTCTAAGATTAATAAAAGAATGATCATAATTTCAAGATAATTTCAATCCTATAAAAAATAATGGCACAATGTTAATCAATGACTTAGGAATACAAACAGGACAAAGTAAAACCTATCTTAAAAGTTGCTAGTAGATCTCACCATTTACAAAAATTCACTCAAGATGGATCAAAGACATAAATTTAAGAACTAAGATTATGAATTTGCTGGAAGAAAATGTAGCAGAAACACTCCAAGACACTGGTATAGGGGATGAATTCATGCTTAAGGCCGCCACATTTCAAGCAGCAAAAGCAAAACTAAACAAATGGAACTTTATCAAACTCAGAAGCTTTTGCATAGCAAAGAAAACAAGAAAGAGACATGCAACGTAACAGCAAAAAATATTTGCAAACCACAGACCCAACCAAGGATTAATATCTCGAATATATCAGCAAGTTTTAAAAACTTAACAACAAAAAAACAACCAATCCAGTTGAGAAATGGGCAAGGCACTTCAACAGACATTTTTCAAAAGGAGAAATACAAACGGCAAACGTGAATTACGCGAGAAAATGCTCACTAAGCGTCAGGGAAAAACAAATCAAAAGTATAATGAGATATCACTACACTAATCCCTGTCAGAACAGCTAAGCCGCAAAAACACAGAACAGATGCTGGTAAGGATGTGGGGAAATGCCTTACAGCCTTAGTGGAAATCTAAATCAGTCCAGCCACTGCGGAAAGCACTGTACAGATTTCTTAAACATCTAAACACAGACTTGCCGTATGTCCAGCAATTCCACTACCAATTTCAGCACTCTGGGAAACGGCAAGCAACAGGCCCGGTTTTGGGGAGGCCTGGACGGGCTTCTGTGTTCCTGGGCTTGGCCAGGTTCTTCCCTTGGTAAGTGAACCAGCAGATGGAAAATTTCTGTGTGCCTTCCACTATCTCTCTCTTTCTCTGCCCTTGAGAGAACTAAAAATATTTTTAAATGAGAAATAAATAAAAGCAGTAATAATATTATTTAGAAACCAAAGTGGTTCAAAATTGATGTAATCTGCCATTTGCTCCAATAAAGAGCAGGTGTGGCAAGCAGCTAATAATGTGGAAGTAGCTGTGAAGGAGACTCACCGCTCATTCTGGTAAGTGACCACACTGCAAAATAAAGGGAAGCATCCCACCTGAGACAGTATATGTATTCCAAGGTTCTCAGGTGTACGGAATTCCTTTGTATCTCTTATTAGATAACAAAATGTGCCACAGTGAGTTTACACAGTAAAGACTGTATTTGAGGTTAAAAATTTTGAATGCTAATTTGATTTTAAAGAAAAGGAGAAAAGAGTCTGACTTACATCTAAAATCTATCTTTGAAAATCCAACAAATTCAGGGAGAGAAATGATTTCATTTCTAATTTTACACAGATGCAGCAACCAATGTCAAATCTGTGGCTCTAACTTTACATCTAATAGACAGGCTAAAAAAAGAAACAAGTCATTCATTATATTTTAGTTACTAAAATCAATCTTTTTTTAGTAAAGCCTTTGAACATCTTCCTCAAATATTTATTTTATATTTAGCTGCTCATCTGGCTCTGTGATTGGATTATAATGGTGAGAGTTTTTGGTGATTTGATAAAAGATCAATTAATCATTCCCTATTTGAACTTATGCACCATCATTGATTTATCATTATTCACTTATTAAGTATTTTCTGAGTATTAAATGTGCCAGGAGCTGTGGAAATAAAAATAAAGTCATGAACAAATGGACACATAACCTCCAACCAAAACCATTTACTGCAAACTAATGCATTGCTTAAAAAAAAAAAATCATTCCAACAAAAAGTTTCAATACAGGCTTCAGCATTTAAATTGTACTAAATAACATAATATGTATTTTAACTGGAACTTCCTAGGCACATTTTAACTGACTGACAAATGCAACCTCTATGTTTTTTATTTCCATAAGATACTACAAATTATTTTTCTGTTTAAGATTTTGATAATTTTCATATTTCTCACATCTAGGAGAAACAGTCCAGTATAATCATATTAAAGAATGCACACTAACTGTTCTTGAACTGTTCTCTGTATTCTAAAATAATCATATATAGAAGCAAGTTACATATATTTTCTAAGAGGTAAAAATAAGCATCTACTGTAATTATCAGCTGCGATCCTTATTTCAACACACACATATCCTTGTATCTGTGGGTTGGTATGTAACAGTACTGTCCTACTGTCTCACAGAGAAAGGCTTCGACCGCCACTCGGCAAGCATTCGCAGCTTGCACAGTATGGAGCACAGATTTTAGTCACATCAAATTGGAAGAGAAACTGATGTAAAGAAACGCTTAATTATTTGTCACAGACCTGAAAAAAAAACTTATAAACAAAGCAAAACATAACAAGGACCCATTACTTACACTTTAATGATCAAATGCATGCACTTTCCCAAGACACAAAAAAATGTAAATTTACATATGTTAATAACTGAAAAAGCAATGAAAATAAATGAGACATTTTTCTGTGTAGCCTGAATTACATAGAGAAGTGTGGTTTAAAAGTCAGAGCTCCAGAAGAGGTTCTAATGTGTTCCGTGCCTCAGTTCAAAGAAACTTATAAACTCATTAAAGCATATTCTATAAAAGATTACTTGCCAGGATTCAAATGATTTAATAATCATACACAATTTGTGTTATGTACCTGACCAAGCATCAAATATGTCTTTGAAAAAAATTAAGCTTTATTTAAAGCCTCTTAAAGTCATAAAGAGGTAGCATTTAATATAATACTTAAGTTGCAATGTTATCATAAAAATGTGGACCTGGAGGGGTAGATTTTTCAAGCAATAATGGTGCTAATTACCAAATTAATGAGATGTTACAAAAGATAAAAATATAAAGCTATAAGGTTATTTTTATTAAACATAAAATTCTACATAATGCAAAATTTTCACTTAATACGAGAGCAACAGGGCTTAAGCTATAATTTTTTAAGACACCATTAAAACCATGAAATATTCTACAGAAATATTTTATATCCAGCTTATCTTGTCTTCAAGAATGTAAGTAAAAATATTTAACTCCCTTTTCATTACTTCTTTAAAGCATTTTCAGAAAAATTTGTGATAGTAAGTTCCTACAACAAAACCAAGAAAAAGGACATTTTATATTCATAATTTCTGTTATACCAAAAGTCTTTACCTTCTAGAAGGTGTAATCATGCAATCAAGACTTAAAATTCTATTTGAAAAAAAAATAATGAAATCAGTGAGAAAGGCTATTCAGAAACCTGAGACAGATGAGATGAAAACTGGTACCCATTTTTATACGACAATTTTTTTTAAACTTTAACAGGTTGCAAATATATGATGAAATAATTTTTCAAATATAAATTCTAGTCATTTTCTAGGTTATTTAAAGTAAGTGTGTGTTTGCGGGGAACCTAGTAGAAACATGTAGATTCCATGGTAAAAAGGCCTGACTGAACCCAGCATCCAAGGGCAGACATAACACAGGCACATGAGGGCACAAACACTTTAAAAGTAGAGCACTGGTTCTAAAGCTCTCTGTGATAACTGCGAAGGATCAAGTTCCTCAACTCAAATTTCAAAATGGAAGGAACTTCTCTGTAAAGAATCTGTGCTTATATAATATAAGAATTTGTGCTTATACACTGTTTCTTTATTTATTTGTTCATTTATTTGTTCATTTATTTGTCTTTATTTTGCTGGTGCTTGGGACATTAATTTGATATTAAAAAAATACCATGTAAACAGAATTATTCACATATAACTCTTGAACTTGCTATTATCTTACGCTAATTTTAAATAAATTTAATCTTCAAGATGGTAACTATAACATTCTATATAAATCACTTCAAAAGAATACTGTCCAAATAATATAGACTTCCTAAACTTTGTTAAAGCCTTTTCTGTCTTGATTAGAATAATTATTTTCTCCTAATCTTCAGTGATAATATTTAAAATTCACAAAAATTTTTAAATGCACAGTTTTATTTGAGAAATTAAGACAAATAGAATTTATTTTATCAATGACTAAAATAACTGACATTATTTTGGGAGTAAATATTTAAAACCTTACAGCATACTGATACATTTATTTTATCAATATAACTTTATTACTCTTGGAATGCTTCCTTTCTGTGTCTTCAGCCAATTTAACACAGTTTTACCAAATGACAACGGTTAAAAGAGTTCCCTCCCATACTATGAACTTTGTGCAATTGCGCTTTGGAAGACTAATGCATCTTTTAAATGAGCTCTTTTTGTTTACCAACTCATTCCCCAATCTCATTCAGTGTTCCAAACAGTTTCCTCATCGCAGCAAAAGAAGCGAATGACCAAAATTAACAGTCACCAACCATCACGAACAGCCAACGTGTGGACTCAGATGTGACTCTGGGCTAGCAGCATGTTTGATGTTTTTTAAAGTGCCAAAACAAACCAAAGAAAGAGAAATTAAACAAAAACCAAAATCGACCTCAGCCACCTTTTCACCTTTCTTTATTTCATAAGAGAGAAGCATTTAATACATGTGGTCTGATTGGTACTAAGGAAGTGCAGATGGGCTTTTTGCGTATCGGTCTCATTACTGTTAATAAAAAGTCAACTTTCTTCATATGCCTACAGAGCTGAGTGACTAGCGTCTTATGAGATCAAATACAGTGATCCTAGCACAAAATTTTCAGAAGTTTTTTTTTTTTGTGACCTCTGCATACAGAGTATTATTGTCCACTCCTTTTATAAGAGAAAATTCTCTTGTATTCAAAGCAAGATTATCAATTTTACTACATCTATAACTATGACATAATTATGTGTGGCAGGTTAATAAGTAGATGAATTCTATAACGTACTGTGCTTACTTATTAAGATCTTAACAACAGCTCGTATACTATGTTTTTTTCCCTCCATGATGAGAAAATGATGAACATGGAACTTTAATTCCCTTAAAGTCAGAGACAAGTATCCAACATACCTGACAAGATTTTCATTGTCCCCGGTGCCTTTGCAAGTTGCACATTCAGTTCTTAAATCTTCAGCCTTGGGCTTCTTTTGCAATACAGACTGTCTTTGTCTTCTTTCTCTGGGAACTCTTTCCTGCCACATGAGGAAAAGAAAACAAATCAAAACAAAACAAAATTAGAATATAAGGGAGACAATTATAAGGAAGAAAGTTACTCAAAGTTGAGACTGTGTCCAAAGTGCTTAACTTATTCCAACCTCATGTTTTTCCTCCTCAGGAATGAAGCTTCGTTTTCGTCCTCTGGTTCTCTAAAGGAAAATCCACAAAAATACTGAATGTTAAATTAATAATACAATTAAATTTTGTCTGTCAAATGTTACTGCTTAAGGTATACTGTTGGAAAGTTAACATTTCTAGTTAACACTGCATTACTCTATGCATTTTCTACAACCTGCATAAAAAATTGTAAATCAAATCAAATTATATATAATTTGCAGAATTTTAACAGAACTATCGGACAAATAAATTCTGTAACATTATCTTGAAAGGTTTTCTCAATACTTCATGATTGTCATGACACGTAAAAGGTTAGAATGTTAAACCCGGAGGCAAGCTGCATCAACTGACCACTGGTCCATGTGTGTGCATGGTAATAAAGGAATGGAAGCATGGTCGCATTTTCAGTCAATGCAATCAAAATCTCCACCTACCCAGCACAGCCTCCATAGATTTACAATCCCTATATGCAGAACACCATCTTTTACAGATGGGAAAACAGGTACAATTCTCAGAAATGACTTTAACAGTTGAGATCTCAGAATATTCACAAGTTACAATCACTACTCAGTAATTGCTAGTGCAATTATTTTCTAATATATAGATTTTCTTAAGTTATATCACTTTAATATATAGGTTTTCTTAAGTTCTATCATTTTAATTCTTCCAGTGTCATGCTATTTAATAAAATGATTAATTACATGCTGTTTAATCATATCTTAGATTATCAAGAGTCAGTTTGGGTGTCCAGCTAGAGATTAATACACAGGTTAAGACACCCATAGCCCGAATTCAAGCACAGCGCCTGCTATTGTGAAATTCAGGGAAGTGAAACAAGAGGAAGTTTGTTCCTCTCTCTCCCTTTCTCCCTTTCTCTCTCTCTTCTCCTCTTCCTCCTCCCTCCCTCCTTCGGTAATACTGTCTTCCAAATAAATCAATTAAGAAAAATAAAAAACACTAATATGGAACAGTCCTCGATGCTGACAATACTTCCACAAGTTCTAACAGAAACCTTACAGCTAGCTCTTTCTATATTCATTTCTTCCCTTTGTATGACATTCTTACCCTTTAGTGCCCTGGTTTCTGTCACCTGATATAATTCATCACCAAACTTCTAAGGACCACAGCATATTCACCTTTTTACACTCAAACTTAACATATCTAACACACACCAACTGTGATTCCACGAGTGGTGCTTGTTTCATACCATATATCAATTAGTGACATGACAATACGACAACTAAGGATTCTATCACACAGTGCTACAGTTGCATCTCTCCTATATTTAAAAACTCCTTCTATGTGAGTAGGTATTTATTTTATTGAAATGCTAGAATTAAAATGAGCAAGTATGACTTGGAAAGTTTAAAGCAATCATTTTAATATAAATGCATTTATCAGCAAGGGATAATAATGGATACATTCATGTAGTATTTTTAAATAACGCAAGCAACATAAATATAATTTCCAGCTTGAGACACAAAATTACAAGAATATGAAATAAAATCATCTTAGAATTATGATAAAGGAGTCCAGAGATGATACAATGATTTGCTAATTTGATATACCTAATAAGACACAAAGGTAAACCTCAAATATGTTTGTTCAAATTCTAAATTCACTGGTTTTTCCCTTCCATATTAAATATAAGATTTATAATTTAGTCCAAGAAAAGATAAGCAGAATTAATGAAAGTGATGGACACACTCTGTTAGTATTTATTATATCACTAATATTACCAAGGGAAAAAGCAAGAGGACTTAATCCAAACTATTCAAAATATAAAATCCTCCAAGCAAGAAGATATTGAGTTACACCATTTGTTTATTTCAGTTTTAATGAAGTCGCAAAACTGTAACCATGAGAAGTCAAAGACCACAGCAAATAAGGTACACCAAAATGGATCGAAAGACACAGGAGTCTACCAGACAGGAAAGTTGTGTCAAACAAAAAGAGAAAAAAGCTCAAAGAAACACATGTATTTGGCTAATTTAACAAATATTCACAATTTGGTGCTCATTCACTGATAAATATTTAAGCTGATATAAACTATTTTGGAAACAAAGTAGCAGGAGAAGAAAAGCATGATGAAGATGTAATAATTTTACCTAACAAACACATTCTTTAGAACTAATACAGATACCTTAAATAGAAGATCCAAATGACTCCTTCATTAAGGGCTCAATTTCAAATTGTGCTACATTTGAAAAGTAATTAGTAAGCTAAAAAAAAGCTAAACGGAAGTTTAAAATACTCCAAATCTTGACACATTCCAATTGTTGTCTTTTTTTTTTAATTTTTATTATTTGTCTACAGAACAATGAAAATGTCATCAGCTGATATTACGTCACTGTTAGTCTGTGTCCGATACACTGACTGGAGAAAAGGCAGGAAAATGATTGACAGGTGAGACGGGCATAGCATTACAGACAACAGATTTGTACTGAAAGAGACTAAAACTATTTCAGCACCTAGACATCACTTTAATAATGTATAATACTTAAATACTTAAATCTATCTATTTTTTTTAAGAGCTGGGGTTATTTTAATTTACAATTAAGTTAAGACATAATAATATTCCCAAGTGTATTTACAACAATTCATTTGAGAAAAGAAATAAATTAAAATTAGACAATTAGTGCCCATATATCTTTGATATCACTAAAAATGCTTCACCTATTTACTCACCATTTTTTTTGAATGTACAACTGAATTTTTTAATAGCAAATCAATGTTTACACATCAATGATTATTAAGTCGGCCATGTTTCATGAGATGAGTCCTAAGAAAAGCTTCCCTATTTCATTTATATATAAGAACAGATTAATTCACAGGTAAAATTCCAAACTCAACGTCAATTGGGAAAACTAAATCAAACCTTAAAGATTATCAGGGGACCAAGCCAACAGCACAGTAGGTTAATCCTCAGCCTTGAGCTCATCAACTAGCTTGCTCCACTTCCAATCCAGCTCCCTGCTTACGACCTGAGCGAGACTCACGTGGGAGACCCACTGGAAGCTTCTGACTCCCAGCTTTGGATCAGCTGGGCTTGGGTCATTGTGGCCATTTGGAGAGTGAGTGAGCAGATGAAAGACCCCCCACCACCACGACCATCTGCTTCTCTCTGTAAAATTGGCCTTTTAAATAAAAATCTGATTTTTTTTTAAATCTGTCAAACTGCACAGTGGAGAACAAATGCCAGAAGCTTTCTGTAAGCAGAAATGCTTTATTATAAAGTTTATTCATTTTATCTATGTATCTACATATACATATGTAGATTTGGTTTCTCAAATTATAAAAATTATGTTGAAACTAAATCATTACATCAAAGTCATAAAGTATGCAAAGAAAAACGGTCTCTGTGATATACAGATAAGGCGTGAACAAGTGCCATCTGTTTTTTTTGGCTTTTGGCAAAAAACAGATGGATTGTTCGTCAGCAAACAAGAGTGTCTCCCTTCTGGCCAATTGGCTGTGGAGTTTATTTTTACCTAATTTAATCCCTATTATGGGGATTAAAAAATACATGCAATAACAAAAAGAAAACCATAATAAATTTGATTTCACTATTACTGTAAATTATTGTAACCAAAATCGAAAGATAGAAATATACAAATACACATTTCATGCAATAAATCCCACAATATCAATAAATATAAAACAATATATGTAAAGTAAGTTAAAGTTTGAAGCTACATCTGTTTTCATTTTCTTTATTTCATAATTCAAGAAATAAATAAGATGGTGGATTGCCAAAAAAAGCAAAAAAGAAGCCTCTTGGCCTCTGAAGATTATATCAGACAAAATAACTCCTCCAGATCTCTAGGCAAAGTGAGCTAAGGATGTTTTAGCTCACCACAACACTGTCTGCTAGAGTTTCGTCTAAGAATTTATGATAGACCTTATGTAATCTGTTCAGTACCTGCTTAATGTGACAACAGCTGATGGACACCCACAACCCTCATCAACCACCTTTCTTTTTCATAATTGCAACAACTCAAAAGGCTATCATACAGATGAGCAAAACAAGACATGGAGATACAAAATACAGTAACGTTTTGTCATGTCAGTAAATCTCACTAGTTTAACTTGTTCCTACACTAGCACCCAACAGTACACATTTGGAACATTTCATGCTTTCAGACTCTGAGGCCTCACATCTTAACACTTAAATAGCTTCTGCAGCATACAATATTAATTCAAACATAAATGTGATGGAAGTAGATTCTAAATTACTTGAATTTCTCTCTCAAAGATGAACAGGCTAAAAACTCACAGTATTAGGTAAAATGTAAAACAGATTAAACATCTGTTTAAATCCCTTTCCAAATAATGATATTAAAAAATTAGTGCATCAGGCCGGTGCAATGGCTCAATTGGCTAATCCACTGCCTGCAAGCACTGGGATGGCATATGGGTACCGGTATGTGTCCCCACTGCTCCTCTTCCCATTCAGCTCCCTGCTTGTGGCCTGGGAAAGCCATGGAGGATGCTGTCCGTGGGACCCTGCACATGCATGGGAGACTGAAGAGGCTCTTGGCTTCAGATCAGCTCAGCATCAGACATTGTGGGGAGTGAACCAGTAGATGGAATATCTTTCTCTGTCTCTCCTTTTCTCTGTAAATCTGCCTTTCCATTGAAAATAAATAAATCTTTATCACTTCTCGGCCTTTTGGCTAAGATTAAGTGAAAATAAATAAATCTTTAAGAACAAAAATAGTGAATCATGAAAAAACAATATTGTTTCCAGCCCAAATTGCTAAAAAATATTTGGACTATTGTTTGATCTTATCCCACAAAACAGCAAATTCTATAAAACACAACAAAAATGGATGAGTAGGAAGAAAGTCAGAACTTCAAAGAAAGATCATGTGAGTGTATGGCTATGGAAGAGGGGCCCCAGCAAGTCCTTTCACATTTATATGAAAAGATGAAAAATCTCCAGATTACAGAATATGAAGAAAAAGAGGAAAAAATCTGAAAGCTTTCAAGTTACATTAAAGTTATTACAAAATGTGTCCAAAAGCACAAATATCAATTTTAAAGTAACTTCAAAGGGGACATAGGTAAGCTACTTTATATTTTCTTCAAAAGTAATTTCCTAGACTAAAAGGTAGTAAAAAGTCTCCACATGAATAATAATAATAATGGAGAAAATATCTAAATAGCAAGGTATTTAAGCAGAAGTCTCCTGGGCTAGCCTTACAATAATTTCATAGTTTCTTCCATGAAATACAATCAACACAAAGAAAAAAATGGGTCCAATTTCCTTGAAAGTAAACAGGAACAGTTCTTGTGTAACTAGAGTTCAGGCCCATGAGTTTGCAAACACCCAGCAATCATTAAATCAATAATTTTTAGAAATACAGCAGAAACAACTGTAGGGAAAAGAAGCACTGACGGAAGGTTAGAAAATTTAAAAAAAAAATTTTTTTTCAACTACCCTGGGAAATTTCACCTTTCTGGGGAAGCCAACTACCAGTCCTTTAGGGGAACCAACCCTAAAAAGAACTACTGTGTGCACTAACTGAAGGCAGAAAGGAGAAGAAGCTCAGAAAGAGATCAGCCCTAACTTGGTTGCCCTATTCCCAGCTCCCAGATTCTCTTACACACAAGGGAGCTTTTGCTGCTTCTTTCCAAATAAACTTGCTTTTGCTTTTGTACTCTCTTTTGGACTTTTTATTTCTACATTGAGCCTCCAGGCACGCCCTCTACCGAAGCAATACTACTAATGTGAAACATAAGTTCATACACTGCTCAAGTCGTTCAAGGTCAACTTTAATCCATTTATCAAAATTGGTCTTAATGTAATAATCATGAATGCTTCAGTAAATTTTACAGCAAAGTTTATAGACAGTATCAGCAGTAATCAATCACTCAGCTTCAACTATTAGAACAAAACAAGTGTTTTCCACTGTATGTGGTTCTAATTGCCACTCCCTTTTCTTTTTTACTATCTGAACACACAACTACTGACTTTGCTATTTAAAGAAAAATTACTATTACAATATTATATAAATGGTCTTTTGTGCCTTCATTTATTAAATTGCAATAAACTTAACCACAGTTGTGAGAAGCTGCAACATAAAACAGTGATGTCCACACGCCTTGGCTTGCTACCCCATTCCACAGTTTTCAAAGGCAGCAATGTTGGCTCTGCCCTGCTGCTGCCTGTGGTTGCCTCTCTTCTTATTGACAGCTGCCAGTCAGGCATTCATTTGATTAGATGGTTCCCTCATAGATAATCCCAGGTAATCCCCACACATCCTCTCTTTGAGGTCCCTAACTTTAATCATTTCTACAAAGTTTTGCTACATGATATATCCACAAATTCTAGCAAACCAGTGGATAGACGGTGTATTTCTATCTCTTTCTCCTTCCACACTTCCCTCCTTCCCTCTGTTTCCTTGCCCTTTAAAGAAAATTACAATAAACAAGAAGTTAAAATATATATACCTACATATATTCTAAATAAGGATAGCATCTAAAAATCTGCTCAGTTGTGTTTCATAAATTGCAAATCACTAGCATTAAGCTGATCCAAAGTTTACACCTCAATAAAACCCACAAATAATCCCAATGCAAATAATCCGAGGGCTCCAAGGCACCACTTCAAAATCTGGTGCCACACAACCCACCATGATACCACAACCAGTTGTCAAGATGCTACTCTTTGATACTGCTGGAAAAAAACAGTCATGCTACTAAAAAACAGGACATTCTGAATTATCACAACACATTTGAATTTCCACAAGTAAGAAAATAATCATACTGCATTTCCACAAATTACTGGCCATAAAATTCTTTCTTGGTGTTTTAGCCACCAGTATCTGCAAAAACTATAAAACTAATAAACAAGAAAGCTGGATAAAAATAATAGGATGAAAGGAGACAGACTAAGAAAGCTTAAACTATCATAATTCTAGAATAAAAAAGCAAACAGATGACAAAAACATATAATGATGTGTTAAGCTATTAAAGGGTCTTCTTTTAAGTACTACTGAAATATGGGCATATAAATAGCACCATAGTATTCATAATCTTCCTTAACCTTCAAGGTTAGAGATGAGAATACTGGCTAAGAAGATTTATTTAAACAATAAAGAAACTAGAAAAAGCATGTTTCATAAGAGGACTACCTTTGTACAGACAGGCATATGAAGTAACAACATATTTTCGCTACAATCTTAAAAACAAATTGAGAAAAGCTGAGAAAAGAGGTTGTAACCCCTAGACTAGATGGATATGGATGAGATTGGAGAGAAATTTATAGGGGCTTCAAAGGCTTTGGGTATGGTCTCTCTTTTAAACCACCACACTGAGTGATCATCATATTATTTTGTTTTCAACTAAACATTGAAACTGTAAACTATTGGGAAACTACGTTTCATAATACAGAAAAATAAATGTTGAAGAACAACCAATAGTAAAACATGTCTCTTTATTTGGTTTTTATTTACACTTTGTCTTTCTCTCCCTATTGAATTTCAGATTTTAAGAATTTTTTTTCCTGATTATGCTGAAGAAGGAATACATTACCGTGTTTCTCATTGGAATCTTCTTGGGTTCTGGTGGCACATCCTGTGGAACAAATTTCACTGGTTCCTTAATCTGCCTTCTGGATCGTTTCGTCCCATCTGGCAAGGTTTCCATGGCCATGTCTGCCTCCATGTCACTGCTCCCTGCCTGGTCACATTCTGAGCACTGCCTACATAAAGGGAAAAAAAAATAACTTATATGCAAACATTTTCAGAAACATTATGGAAAGCATGTATTTTGAAACAACTGTATGTGGATTTCAAAAAAATTTTGGACTTAAATAAATTTATCTTTTAGATTCATCTTCCCAATAACATTCTGTAATACCGTCATGTTAACTACTGTCTTCAATTTCAGCCAGTTTCTATCAACACAAAATTTAGATTTTTTGTGTGAAGAATACTTAGATATTGAATGCCCATTATTTAAGCATAGCAAATCAGCAAAACTGTTAACACTAAGAAATTATTGACCAGTGAAGGAAATGCTTTGTCATGTACTACTTAGAAAACTTTGATGTACCTATTGCTAGAGTGATTAAGTACTTTATTCCTGAGATTACAGATTGCCAATTAAATAAAAACACAACTAAAGTAGGCACCACGCAGTCTGGGCTACCCTTATCAAACACTGAAATGCTGGTTCAAGACCTTGCTATTCTGCTTTGATCCAGCTCCCTGGATCCAAGGAAGATGGTTCAGGAACTGGAGTTCCTCCCACCCACATGGAGATCAGGATGCAGTGTCTGGCTCCTGGCTTTCCATATCTAGTTCCATTTAGTTCCCATACCACCTATTTGGAGTGAGCCAGAGGATGGAAGACTTCTCTGTGTCTCTCTTAACTTTGAAATGTGTCTCTCTTAACTTTGAAACAAATAAATATATCGAACATAAAAAAAACAAAACCTCTCATATGAAAACACCAGAAAATTTTACACAGTCTCAGAACTTAAATGATAAACATATTTTGAAATTAAAAACAGAACTAGGGCATGACACGATGGTTCAACTGGCAAATTTTCCACTGCCAAGTGGCAGGATTTCATTTGGGTCCCAGGTTATGTCCCTGCCTCTCCACTTCTTTTCCAGTTCCCTGTGTGTAGCCTGGGAAAGCTATAGAACACAGCCTTGGAACCCTGCACTGGCATGGGAGACCTAAAGCTCTTAACTCCTGGCTGCAGATCTGCTCAGCTCTGGCCTTTGCAGCCATTTGGAGAGTGAACCAATGGATGGAACATATTTCTCTGTAACTCTTCTTCTCTTTGTAAATCTATCTTTACAATATAAGCAAATAAATCTAAAAAAAAAAACTAAACTGTGAAAAACTAGAAATTTTAGATGCTATTAGTAAATAAAACTAGATATGTCTACAGCAATTATCTAATTACAAAAAGATCAATTGCCTATCTTTATGGTATTAAACTATGTAATAAATAGTAAGTGATCATTTCCATTAGTTAAGTAAAATGTGGCCAAGGTTTCTCAATAAGTTCACATCCGTTTTTAAATTAATGGAATTCTTGGAGTATAGAAACCAATACCACTTTCTGATGAATTGCTTAAAAAAGAAAAAGAAAGAAATATTTCTCCTTTTGTTTCTCTTTGTATAGCTATTGCCTTTGTCAAAACATTTTCTAGTTTCGTTCACTCACATCTCCACCAGAAGTCATGCATTTGTGTGACAAACTCGCTGGAACACCAAGATAATGGAACCGCTATGCTCTGACTATCACAAAATACTGAAACACCAAGGAGACCAAAAGAAAATGTAACTGTCAAAGCAGAATTTATCCACTCCTATTTCAAGAGTGTACCACATAATTCCGTCAATACGTTAAAAGCCACAGAGTTGGTGGGGAACTATATGGTGGTGTAGTGAGCTAGTCCCACACATGAGGCCTTGCTATCCCATAAGGCCATAAGGGCTCCAGTTTGAGTTCCAGGTGTTGTACTTCCGATCCAACTCGCTGCTCGCAGCCTGGGAAGGCAGCAGAGGATGACCTAGGTTCTGGAGCGCCGCCCCCATGTGGGAGACCTGGAAGAAGATCCTGGCTCCCAGCTCTGACCAGCCTAGCTCTGGTGGTGGTGGTCATGTGGGGAACGACCTAGCAGATGGAAGATCTGCTTTTCTCTCTGCATTTTTATTAAGTAAAATAAATAAAATTTAAAAAAAAAACTTAAACAACAGGAAGACACATTACTACCTTCCAGTTTTGCAGCAATGTATCAGGCACTACAGATCCAACGTAAAGCGTTTTGTAAGGTATATACAAGCATCAGTACACAAAACACTAAGTAATTATATTCCAGGACAAAGCCATGGCCTGTCTGCCCAATCAAATCAGGGACCTTTCTAGGAGAAAGTTATTATCTTTCATAAGACAGATGACATACCTGGCTTCTTTCAGTAACTCACTAACTGGTCTTTTTTTAATTGCAAAGTCAGATGTACAGAGAAGGGGAGACAGATTTTCAACCTGCTGGTTCACTCCCCAAGCAGTTGCAATGGTCAGAGCAGTTGCAATGGTCAAAATTAACACACACTGAATTAATTTTTTTAATCAAAGCTAAATTGATTTTAGAGGTCAAAAGAATCTGCTCACTATAAACTAAGGGGACTGAACACTTCACTCTTCCATTATTTGCTTCTGCTTTTACTAAAAACCACTGTATCTAATGACACTGCCCCAAGGAGTTGAAGGGCTTTGGGGAGTGCTTCCACTAAAACACGTTAGTCTACACTCCTTCATTTGAAGTTCTCCCAGAAATTCACATACTGGAAACCCTATGGACAAGGCAGTATTGGGAAGGTACAAAACCTCATTTTAAAAAAGAACTACAAACATACATCCTCGTTCAACTTCATAACACGGTACCCTGATTCTAAAGACTATCCAACAACCTTTCTACAGGAAACCCATCCAGACATTTTACTAAAATGATGGCAGTCTAAGCCACTGCTGTAATTTCTAACTTCTACAAGTTCCTAAAGAAAATAAATGCCAAAAGAGATACACCCATTATACATGTATGAACAAGCGAATCTGAGTAACTCAAAACAAACTGATAAACACCATAAGGAATTCTGTAAAAATGGTTAAAGCCAAAAAGTCAGCTTTATCATAATACAATGAGATATCCTTAAAAGATAAAATAATGAAATGGAGACTCTAAGATGGACTATGTCAATCGGTGGATTCTGCTGTGACCTCGTCGTGCTTGGAATGGCGAGATTGGCAGCAATTCAGAACTGGTGAACTATCAAAACCACTTGAACAAGACCCTCGGAGCATGCCCCACATCAGGGACCTGGGATTGGTGGGACACTGGGTGGAGCTTCTCCCTCCATCCCCCCTGTATCCCAGATACAGGAAAAAAACTGTGGAAATAATAGTCTTACCCACTTTCCTGTAGCCCTTGAACCTTTATGACCTAATTAACTATGTAAAGATTAACAAAAATAGAGAAAAAACAATGGGGAAAAAAAGATAAAATAATGAGGTCAGAAACATACTGAACTTTTAAGGAATGCACACACTCTTCCATTTTGGATCACCAGTGCATAATCTGGGGTTCTCTCTTTTCCAAAACATAAAAAGATTTTGCATGAAAAAAAGTTTATATTCATCCCAGTGTTTTCCATTTTCTATATTCTGCTTTCTATAAGGAATCTGAATATCTGTCTTTCCCAAGGACTGAAATTAATGAAAGAGTGAAACTCATTTTAGATTACTATAAGCTTTTAGCAGACAGCAATAATGATCCAACAGGCCTAAGTTAACAAAATAATTTAGAAATGCTTGTCAAATGTTTCTAGAGTTACAAAGAAATGGCCGAATTTAAATATACCCAACACAAATGACAATTATAAGACGTAAAAAAGCATTCAGTGACATTAAATCTGAAGTAATACGCTAAATCACAATTGTAAGCATGACTGCTGAGGCTATTTTTGATAAATTCACTGGATTTTGAAGCAAAAGGAAGGCATTTGACAAATTCTAAACAATAAAAGAGAATCATAAATACACTCGAATAATTCATACGTGAAGTAGGAAATCCTTGCTAAGTTGCCAAAACAATCATAACTATTTGAAAATTCACTTCAAAAAGCCTCTCCCTATTCTAATCATTCACCACTATAATAAACATTTAGGAACTTTTCAACTTCCCAATTCACCAACCCTTTCTTACGAGTCGTTCTAAGGCTTCATTCTATAGAGCTGAAACTACAAAACTAGTTCCAAACTGTGTGCTCTCTCCATCTGCCTTACCAGTAACTGTTCTTGGTCTTGCGTGGCATCCTTGTGAGTGGGGGATCCAGACAGCCGAGGTGGTAATGAAGCTTACAGGTGTCACACAACAAAAGCAGATGCTGGTCATGGTTTTTCTTACAGATTCCACAACTTTGAAAAAGATACCAAGCACAAATTAGAATAATTATCAAGTAAAACAGGTCATGTCTAGCATATTTTGAAATTTTAAAGTTTTCATCTTGATTAACTATTCAGTAGAGATGTGTATTTATAGCACATATTTTCTTGCACTGTCAGTAACAAGATTTTCTTTTAAAATGTTTCTGACAATGTTAAAACACAGTTTGAATCTAGTATAAATTTAAATATTGCTAGTTCAATTTCTCAGAAAAGGGTATCTGTATATTTATTTTCAGTATGATCTTTATCTTAGTTATTTGAAACCTGTTTAAAATTGGGTCATTTTTTTCCCCAGAAAAAGAGATTATGAGAGAAAAAAAAAATTTCCAAATTTCTTAATACTTGCATAAAACCAGAAAAGAAGTTAAGGTACTTCATAAACAACATTTAGTTTATTTTCTAAAATTAATTACTCAAAATTATTTCAACACATACATCAGCCACATATAGAAATAAATCTTTCAAAAATTAGAATTTCATTCTTAGCAATGCACTGTCCTTCATTGGAGAGACTAAGAAGTCACTATTATCTTTTGTTTGTTCGTTTGTTTTCAGTAAACTAAACAAAAAGGCAGTTTAATTGAGAATGTAAGCAGTATGACTTTAAAGTCTAGTATGTACTTAGACTGGGAGAACCCAGAGCAAGAAAAATCAGGTGGAGAACTTACAAAAGGAAACCATGCACAGTTACAAAACAATAATGATGTTTTAAAATAGACCTTGGAAAAAATTATGAAAAATGTTCAAAAAGTGTAAGATAAAAATTTAAGTGGAAATTAAATAACACTTAATATATTTCTTACCCAAAAGTGAGTTACAGTCATGAAGGTTAGGAACCTTAGTAAAGTGATATGACCAACCAACTATGGTTAGCAAAGCTGAAAAGAGAACATACTAATGTTCACACTGTGCACTAATAGTGAACTTTGCCCATGATTTCTCCAACACCTTGCCCCATCCTTGCCCAAGGAAAAAAAAATAGCTTGGAAGAAAACCTATTTTCATAAGTGTGTATAATATATGTACCTATGTGTGTGAGTATACAAGCATATGCAAATATACATGCAAGCTATACACAAATACAAAAATGTAATCACAAAGCTCAAAGTCCAAATTTTCCAAGCAATGAAGAAAAATGAGATCCTAACTTATTTAAAGTCTGAGCTATTAATGATTAATTACTGATTAATCACTGTAATAACGAACACTTTAAAAATATTAAGCAAAGAAAGTAAACTACAAAAATACTTCTGAAAACATAATTATTGCAACTGAGTCTGGCAGAACAAAGTTGAAACAGATTCCCACAGCAGCAACAGAATCACGGTGTATAAAAGGTAACCATCACTCCCTGAGAACACAAACAAATCTTGAGAATCTACTCGATAAAATAAGACATATTTATTTATCTACTATACCATTGTCATTCATACAATAATTACAGTATTATATATAGAAATATCCCCAATTACTTGATAGACTTCAAATGCCTTTAACTTAAACTCTTGTGCAGGTATAATTCATTCTCTTCTTCCTGACAGCGTTAGTTTATAAGAAACCCGAAGTGACTGTTCTCATTTCACGACTTGCCTATAGAGTACTGCAGGAAGAGCCGACGTCTTCTGTGCGCCTCCTTCTTTCTTACTTGGTTTTCTCTCCTTGGGTGCTCGTAAAATTGCTGGTATGTTCAGTTTCTATCAATTTGAACAAATTCATTATATATTATTGTGAGGCAGAAAAAGCAAAAATTTTCCTCTATTTGCCACTATTGGATATGCTGGGATTGACAGGGGAAGGGGTGGTGGGATCTATTTTATTGGCAATTATGCTGGTAAAAAAAAGATCAAAATGACTTTTAACATTTACTTTTATCAGAAACCTATTGTTCTATACTTTCATCAGTTTGCAGTGGTACACTGAAACATAACAAAAATTAAACTTGAGCTTTAAAATCTGGAAGATGAGGACAAGCATGAGTGGAGTTTAAAAAAATAACAGAATACTCAATAAAAAGAATATTGAGGCTGTTTCTTTTCCTCAACATTCCAGCTACACTGGTACGCCAGAGGTTAATTAGAAAAATTATCTTATTGGACCAAACTCTCCCACAGAGCAGACAAGATTATCTTTGGATTCATGGTAATCTATGGTGTAGTGGCTTTTGAGACAGCGGCCATCTATCACAGTCGTTTCTTAGTGGCCCAATGGGTTCACATCTGTCCAACCAACTGCAAAAAAAGCATCATGAAAATGAATTCTATTTCTGTTTTGTATTTTACAAATTTGCACAAGAAAATATGTAGGCCTCTGTTAAAAGTCATTTAATAAATAAAAATGTCTTTTATAGATAGATTATGGTTTACACTACACAGAAGGTTCTCAAGAGGCAAACTTGCAAATCAAGACAAAAGCTAATGCAAGCTTGACAACTAAACTGAGGCAAATACTAAACAGAAAACATGATCTTCAAAAACTCCATCAATAACCTATCAATGAAAATAAAGACTAATCCTTCAAGAACTGATTATTCATTCTCACTGTTTAAATAAACCAATTACAACACAAGCTAAGCATACACCATTCACAAGAAGCATCTTCAGAGTTGGAATAATACAACACATCTAGATGTATTTTTTTCATAAAATACCTATATTAATTTGTAAACCTCTGAGAATATACAAAGGGAAATATTTGCCTTTTGAATGGCTTCCTTCATGGAGAAAACTAATTTTTTAGTGAAAGGAAAGATTAGCGCTCTCACATTTAAGAAATATGACTAAAAGCATTTGAAAAAAAATTTTAAAGGATCAATTACAAAAGCAGCATTCAAAGAAATTTATTTTGCAGTGCTTTTTTTTCAACAACGATAATTTAACAAATTACAAATGCTCAAAGATTGAATTTTTTTTATAACTGCAATAAAGAGCACTGCTGAAGGAGTAAAATTGCCCTTTAATAATGAAGTTTCATACATTACGCGGTACATGGCTGAAAAGCAAGTTAACAGGAAAACGAATCTATCCAATTTACCTTTTTATGTTTTAAATTTTTAATGAGATCTAAGTATACCACAAGAACAGGAAAGAAAAAAAATGTGGCAAGAAATGTAAAACAACTAAATTAAAGGAAAGAAGCAATTCATGCTATAAATCTTCGTTTCATCATAAACAGAGGGTCAACCAGAACAAACAAAAATTTAGCAACCATGACAGCTTCTAAAATAACCAAGTTAAGCTACACATTCTCAGTAGGTGCCTTCTAATTTTCTAAACGTACATCATGAAAAACTGCTTACTTCAGAGGATTAGGGCCTGACGAAACTGACTTTTTCAGTTAGTAAAGTAAGTTTGTGAGAAATGTAATTTTGAAAATTATACAGAGCAAGAATTGAAGAACAGTTTAGCAAATAGAAAATAACAAACCTGCCCTGTGATTCTGCCCAGTAAGGCCCAGATACCTTGCCCTTCACTTCGAAGCTTTCCATTCAGGTTTTGTAGTTCTTCTAAGGATTCACACAGCTGAAAAGTGAAGAAAATAAATTACCAAATTTGTTAAAATGGGTGAAAATGTAAATAATTTATCAATAGAGTATCTGCATGTAAATTTCAGATATTTTTCTCACACTATATCACTGGAGAAGATGTCCAACTATTTAACAGTACCAACAGTGAATAAATTTTTGGTATATGCTGCTATTTTTATTAATAATATATAGATTTATACATTCCATTAAAATTGGCTGTATCATTTCACACATCCTATAGTTAATCCTTACCAAGATGCATCTTCCACCTTCTCCCATTGAGACAACACAGGATCTTAATGTTCTGTCAATTGGTCAAGATCACGAACAAGAATCCCTAGGTCATCTGAATTTAATCCTAGGACTCTTCATTACAACATAACCAACTATCAGAATCTCACTTTTTACCGAATGTTGTCGTTTAACATGTTTTCCCACAATTATACCAGTTTAAAATGCTCATGTTACACAATACCTGATTATAGTCACATCTTGCTTTTTCAGGTAAATTGTATTTCTCTTATATATCTCTTTTTATTAGAATGAAGAGGTACAACAAAAATGTAAGGAATTACTTTTTAATCAAAAGTAAGTTAATAATACATGTCAACATTAACAGTTATTTAAAACTAGGTTTTAAATTTTTCTACAAATTTAGAGAAATTCTACAGTGTTATTTACTAAGATTAGAAATAAGAAAAAAAAGTCCAGTGGGTTAGCCACAAACCTCAACTTCTCAACTACGTGAGCCTAGACAAATTACTTAATCTGTGTAAGACTCAGTTTCCCTCTTTTGAGAATGGGAATTCCAGCCCATCCTACAAAAGTAAGACAAGGACTATGTCAGTTAATACAAGTCACGAGGTCACAACTACACTTGGCACATAACAAGATGCTAAGTCAGAGACGGAGATGATAGAGAAGACAGAGTTGAAACAAAGAACATAAAATACTTAGAATTTCAAAATAAAACATATAGAAATGCTATTGAAATCACAAAAGAAGTAACTGGTAAGATTTTCTTCCTTTCACATTGCTAGTTTTGGAACCAGCTTACCTTATTATATTCCACATGAAGCTTTTCTTGTTCATTCTCTAATTTATCCTTTATATTCTTTTGTTCAGCCATATTTTCCTGAATTTGAATCATGCGCATATTTCTCTCTATTTAAATTAAATATCCAGTTTTACTTTAGTAGGAAGTAAAAGCTGATACACAATATACCCAAAGGAAAACACCAACCATGGCGAGAAGCACAAGGATAAACCCACATCGTTTAAACACTTGTGAATATATTAAAAAACACATGAGCCAAATAGTTCACAAAAACCCACCACTTATTAAGAAAACATGCATGTTTTTATATACACACACCATGGCTAACCAATTTCTAAGAATTAAAAACATAATAAATATTTTCATTAGGAAACTGTTCCCAGTGAAGAGGTTAAATATCAGTGACTATACTAACCAAAATAATAATTCACAAAGTCAGCAGTGAGCGCGGGTTGCTTGTGTTTCCTCCTCCCATCCACACTAGAACTGGTGTCGGAATTGTCCACCGGGAAGATGTCTGTGCTGATCCCCATCAGCTCAGCCTTCCGCATCAGCTTCCGAATGGCTGAAGCGCTGCTGGTGAGGGGCCTGGGCAGCTTTTCCCGGGGAACCCAGGCCTGGGGTCTGGTGGAGCGGGCCAGCTCTGCCTTGGCACGATACTGTTGTAGCCGGGCATTGATCCTTGCCTATAAAAGAAATGTAAGCAAGTATAAAAGAAAACAGAATATATATTCTCCTTGTGATTTTAACTTCTATAGTTAGATAAGGTAAAAACAGCCAGAATCTCCTATTTTTAAAGCAAATTATATGAGGGCACTTCAGAAAGTTCAAGCAAAATGTATGAGAAACACCGTGTATGAATTTAAAAATAGTTCAACCCCAAAATATACCTGGTCTTTTATTTCAAGTTTTCCACTAACCTTTTGAAGTACCCTTAGTATCAAAGCTCCTTAATGTATATTGTATAATTCTTGAGTTATAATAAACTAGACCTATCCCTAGTAATAAATGTACTAATTTATGACCAGAGTCAATAGAAATCTAAGTTTATCAAGATAACATTCTCTTCAATAACAGCCAATAGTCTCCAGAGGTACTCAACATGCAGCATAATACATTTAAAGAAGGAGCAAACTTGATCAGATCCTTTGCATAAATGAGCTTCAAAAAAAAGAATGAAAACAAGGATGTGATCAACATACTGCACTGACAATGCCGTGACAAAAGACTGCTTCGTCAACCAGATGACAAGACGCTCAATAGCTAATGATACTCATCATTTTCTTTAATCTCAATCCTACAAATCCACAATTACTATTCACTTGAGACTGGCAAATACATATGAGGGTGGAAATCAACAATATAAACAGAAAACTCATATGTGTTTCTACATAAATCCCGTACCTGTGCTTCTGGTGATAACTGCTTCTCTCTCTCTTGTAAAGACATCTTACAGTAGGACTGCAGGGCCAAGTAGTTCTTTCTCTTCCACTTCCTGTCTAACCGATCTGCATGCTGCTTGCAATAAGCAAAGAACGGATCTGCTATGTCCTGTTACAAAACCAAAGAAATAAACATCAATATTTTTATTTCAAAGGCTCATTCAAAAACTAACCCAAAAGGATATTTGCTTTTTTTATTTTTTTGGACAAATATCCTAGTATTGGTTACTTCTATAATAAATTATGAAAATAAACTTTGCACATAAGGATAAAGATTACTGCTTTAGAAACTTAATTTGATATAACCACATCAAATGAATGCTCCTCTCTTTGTTAAGGGTCTTTGAATATACCTCTATTTTTTTTTAAACCACTGCATAAAACAATTGGGATTTTAACAACTTTGAGGAAAAACTATCATTAATTATTTAATCTAGATCTACTCAAACTGCAAAACAAAAATATATCTAAAAACTGTAGGCCTGCTTAAAGGAGTTATTTCAAGTTCCTAACAATGCATGGACAGACTCCAAAGAAGGGCAGATCTTTGCAGCGGCTGTAGGGAGACAGGAGTGCAAGCCCCTCCGTGGGGCTCCAGCATCCCTTCCTGCAGTCCCAGCTTTTCTGCCTCTGAACCAGCTCCTTGCAAACGCCTCTGGAAGGCAGTGCATGCTACTGCAGAGGCATGTGCGTCCCCGGTCACACAGCACAGCCAGTCGGAGCTCTCGGCTTCTGCCTTGGTTCAGCCTGTTCCTGGCCGCTCTGGGTACTTGGGGAGGGAAGTGATAGACTGAACATGTCTGCTTTTTCTCAGCTTCTGCTTCACTGTCATTTTGCCTTCAGACAAATAAATCTTAAAGAAAGAAGGAAGGGAAGAGATAGGAAGGCGAAAGGCAAAGAAGCATAAAAGAAAAGAAAAAAAAAGGAAAAGGAAGAAGAAAAAGTGGCAGGAGGGACCCTGTCTATTTAAAAAAAGAAAAAAAAAATTAAGCATCTCTCTTACTACTTTCTATTAGTGTAAAATTTCAAATGAACATGACTCTAACCCAGACATCTTTCATGGAACTAACACTACTTTAAAGTACATTTCATTTTTACTCATTTAAAGATAACAGAACAAAAAATAATACTATATGAGAAACAGAAACAATTTGCAAAGGTGAAGTCCAAAAATATTACTGTCAATGTGATTATTAGCAAAATGATAAGTCAGCTCCAAGGAAAAGCAGTCAAGATAAGCAACTATATAGTTTCTTTTTTATCTAACTTATATCACAAATTTCTCAGTGTAGTACTGTGTATAAAAATGCAAATTTTGGGGCCCAGAGCCATAGCCTAGCGGCTATAGCCCTCACCTTACACACACTGGAATCCCATATGGGCGCTGGTTCTAATCCTGGAAGCCCCAATTCCCATCTGGCTCCAGTTGAGGATGGTCCAAAGCCTTGGGACCCTGGACCCTCATGGGAGACCTAGAGGAGGCTCTGGGATCCTGGCTTCAAATGGGTGCAGTTCAGGTCAGTGTAGCCACGTGGGGAGTGAATCAGCAGATGGAAGATCTTTGTTTCTGTCTCTCTTGTTCTCTGTATGTCTGACTTTCCAATAAAAATAAATCTTTAAAAAAGGCGGGGGAAGGGGTACTAAAGAGCCTTCATGCCTAAAAAGCTCCAGGATTAGACAACTGACCCTAGCCTATCAACACCCAGAGCCAGCATCCCACTGGAACTCTCCTGGAACTCTGAGCCTTGGGTTGACACTCTGCACTTCTATCAGTCACCATCAACTGTCGCCATGAGTAACTCACACAAGCCTTTGGTACAGCTATATCTGTACCTTTGCCAGCAGCCATGAAAATGCCTCGTGTTCATCTAATACCCTTCATCAATAATCAAGTAACAATTTCAAATCAGAGATTTGAACAAAAACAGATACATAATTGAAAATACCATTTCAGGGCCAGCACTGCCTGCAGTCCCTGCCGCCCCATACAGCCACTAGTTCGAGGTCTAGCTACTCCATTTCTGATCCAGCTCTCCGCTAGTCCGGCTGAAAAAACAGCAGAGGATGGACAAAGCACTTGGGTCTCTGCATCCATGGAAGGAACCTAGAAGTTGTTTCTGGCTGCTGGCTTCAAACAGACCCAGTTCTGGCAGCTGTAGTCATTTGAGGAGTGAACCAGTAAAGGATCTCTCTCTCTCTCTCTCTCACTTTCTCCCCTCTCTTCCCTCCATCCCTTCCTCTTAACTCTGCCTTTCAAATAAATAAATTTTTTTAAATGGAAACACTACTTTCAAAAAGGTCCATTTATTCACAAACTATATCCCTCAAATTTTGTTCAACAAATGTTCTTCATCCTATTTTAATTACTTGCTTCCTGACTACTTAATAACCTACTAAGATAATAGTTTCCTATTAGACATGTTATATGACACTGAGAACATAGTTACCATGCTGTAAATTAAAACTTGGACTTTGAAAATAATCATTAATTTATTTAATAACAGCAAGACTATCACATATCATACACTTCATAAAGACAGTTTATTTACAAGATTTAGTGAGAGCAATGGCACTGTTTTTCTAATAAAAATCTATTATGTCTCAATACTGACATAAAAGACTGCTAGATTCTCAACTCTTTACATTCAATGTCTTACATTCTAGACGTGTATGTACTCTCCTAGATATCCACTGTTACTCAAGAGAGCACAGAGTTTCAAAGTAAATAACATTATATTGTTATAAGAATAGTTTAAACCTCAAAAGTTAGTCTTATAAGGCTCACAAACAACTTTCTGTTTAATCTAGAATTTATAAGGAATCAAATGAAAAAAATTAGACAGTAACACAAATAACAGACATATGGTAATGATTTCACTCAGAGAAATACAGCTAAGTTACTCATATATAATTTGAAATTCCTGTGCAATCAGCTGACACTTTAATGCTTTAAAATGCCATAGATTATGGTCCATCTTCTCTGTTGGATTTCACAAATTTAACAGGCTTTTCAAAAGCTAACCAGCTTTGAAACTTCTTCAATGATTTATACCTGTCACATGGCACGCAGTCATGAGATGTCTTAGGAAGATATTTAACAACAGAAGGCCTACATAGACCCACCTCTTCCGCTGCTGCCTCTGAAAGCAGCCCTTCCTTCTGGGCACAGGTCACATGGAAATAGGCTCTGCACATGCCCGCATCGCAGCTGATGCAAACGCCAGTCCGAGCAAAGCGAGGGTCTTCGCAAAAGCTGCACTCCTACATCAGGATAACAGGAAAATCCTCAGGTGGGAGTCTGGATGCTCATAAGAATTACTCTCTACATACTTAAAAATATTTATATGGAAAAAGGAATTATCTAGATAATTGTAATAAAGCAAAATTCCATTTATATGACCACGCTAGCAAATAATAGCAGCATATAAATTTGAGGACTTATTATGTCACCTAAAAATATTCATTCATGCAGTCATTTAATATTCATATCCAGTATGTTAAAGAGCTTAATTAGCTTTAGGTGCTCCAGAGCTGTGTGCAGTCATTATAAGCCTAAGTTAATAAATGTGCATTTACAATTGAAGGGCTCAGTGTCTAAACACTGACTTATAAACAAGGGTGAGAACCATTTTCCAGGCAGAAGGTTATGTAACCCTGAAGATAAAATGAGTCCCTGAAAGTTGGGTAAAATAAAGGAGCTTTGTGAACTCTTTGCAATAATTTTGATAAATTCCACCTCAAAGGATAAATGCAAAGGAGGTTTATTTTTAATTCAACTGATTTTAAGTAAGACCTTGGTCTATGCACTAGGCAAAGGCCAATGGTCAGACAAATAAAAATAGAATCAACCGTTTGCTCCCTCTTAGGGTATTATAAATCAGGAATCCTTGGATGGGAACAATTCACACGCCCACTCCCCAGGCACATGCTCGGTGCTTGGCTCCGGCTCCTGATTCTCATTTCCCACAAATGCAGAACCTAGGGGCAACAGTGATGGGTCAAGAACTGGGTCCTGGCCATTCTTGTGAAAGCCAGGGAATGCAACCCCAGCTGCTGGCTCCAAGGGCCCAGCCTAGCCTAATGGATGCAGGCATTTGGGGAGTGAAAGTGTGGCTAGGAGTGAATTAGCAATACATGGAAGCAATTCTTCATTTCTTGTTTTCCAGGAAAACTACAAATAACACACATAATTTAGTGCTAAGAAGGACTTATAAATAAGTGTTTCAATATAGTCAACAATGATATATATACAAATATATAGAGAGAGAAAAGAAAGAAAGAAAGAAACAAAGGAAAGGAAAGGAAAGGAAAGGAAAGGAAAGGAAAGGAAAGGAAAGGAAAGGAAAGGAAAGGAAAGGAAAGAAAAAAAGAAAGAAAGAAAGAAATCTTGTCTCACCTTGGCACCATACTTGGAATAATTCATTTCTGTCAGTGTTACTGGTCGTAATTTGTCAATATCTCCAAAGGCTACCCCAGGAACATAAAGGGCACAAACAATATGAACCCATCTATAGGGACAAAAAAATATGATTTTGTCATTAACACTTTACAGAAAGTTTCCAGACAGAAAACCAACTTGTAAAACATGTGCCTTCTCAAAACACTACTGAAAGAATTCTGTGATCAGACATTAAAAATTTAATTTCAAACACAAAATTAAAGGTAATGGAACACCTATAGAATGACAATTAATAATAAAAAAGTGACATGTCATCATAGAAAAAGAAGCATTACTTTTCCAATAGTTTCCAAAAACAGAGTGAACAACTATAATTGTTTTTCACTTAAAATTTGGCTGTGCTTGGCAATGATCCCTTATTCTTATATATATGCATAAAAATACTCTTCAAAGAAACATTTTCACATGCAGGGGAGAGTATTTACATTACTGAAAGCAGTTTGAAAATTAAAGAAATTCTGTAAAATTGCACTTCCTTGTTAATCCTTTCCAAGAGGTGTTGAGTGACACTCAAAGGAACATTTCAAGAACTTTGGTGTGTGGCTTGACCTTCATTTTTGTATGTTAGAACTGATTATACAGAAAAGTTACAGCTATGTAAGAAAGTCAAACTTTCATTCATGTGTTCACCATACAACCTAGGAGCCACAATTTATATGCTCCATATGTACTTCTTCTTAAGTCTGAGGGACACTGCATGACTAAAGCAAGAATGCTCAGTTTCAATACAACACAAAAACAAAACAAGCAGATTCACAGTTCATTTTACTAAAATGGCTCTGATCCATTTTTAAGGTCTCAGCTGCCTTTTCTATTTGTTATGGCAACAAAATGATATGGGATCAATCACCAAAATTTAACCAGATTAGTACCACCTCTCGTAACAAGGGTGGTAAAAATGAGATGGCAAGTCTCCACTTAACCTCATGAATATATTAACAAGTACTGCTCTCCTACAGCTCTAGGGGCTGGAAATGCTGCAAGGTTTTGGCTTTTGTGATGTAAAGGACTAAGAATTCTTCTATAGAAACAATGGAGAAAATAGTTAACAAATCTTCTACGAAATTATCTTTCTTACTTGAAAAAAAAATTCAAGGATTTGACATTTCTTTGACCGCGAATGTTTTAATCCAACTTCCCCAATGCAGCCTATCGAGTTCAAAATAAAGACACACATCTTCAACAAGCAACTGCTTTCTCAATTTAATTTGCACGTTTTTTCATGCTCCACTGATATATTAAATGTTGCTGTAGTCCACAGGAGTTTATCTTTGATAAACCCAGCAGCTGCCTGCTTGCTTTACACTGACCTTCTGAAAACGTTCTAACTTACAAGTCACACAACAGATTTAAGCCTGCCATTTCAGTGTGATTGGCACACAAGTGTACCACTTCCCACCACTACAACTGTGAGAACATTAACTTGAATCCTTCATTAAAACAGATAACAAAAGTCAGTAAAAATCACAGCTCAGATGATTTTAGCTCTTCGTTAAAAGATTGTTTAATTATTTTCAACAACTTAGAAAACAGTGATAAAGAGATCTTCCATCTCCTGCTCCATTCTCCGAATGCTGACTGCCAGGGGTGGCTCCAGAAGGCTGGAAGTCCACCCAGGTATCCCACAGGCACGGCAGACTCCTCTGCTAGCTCCCAGGATGCACTGGCAGGAACCTGGATTCAAAGTGACAGCTGTTCTACAACCTTTGCTACTAAGGTTAGTCCTCTTTCATATCAGCTTTTATTCATCAGTTTGGCTTTACACACTCCAGAACTTTGTAAGTAGAACAAATCATCAGGAAATTAAAATCTTTTTGTTATTTCATCATCCACTTTGCTTGATGCTATGATGACAGAAGTTGATTGGGTAAAGGAGCAGAAATTGAGCAGCATACAAAACCACTCACAAAAAAACTGCCATTCTACCACAAAAACTTGATACATTTTAAATTCAAGGCTTTTAGTAAAGCAATTAAATACAAATTTATTTCGGAAAAGATTCTCATTTCAGAATGAATACTAAATTAGTCATTTAAATTTGACTTTTCAATCAAAGTCAACAGATCTCGAATCTCTAGTGCTTTTAGCATAAAACAAATTCAACGGATCTTGAATTTACGGTGCTTTTAGCATAAGACAAATTTACTTCTAGAGCATTTTCTTTTTTTGTTACCTTATTCCCTTATTCCACCACCAACCTTGTTTACCATGCACAGCGCACCCCGATGGCACTTTAGGAGTTTTAGATACCTGTGACATGCTTGTAACATCGTAGCAGGTTAGCTAGCTTAGCTCAGGAAATGTTAACTACAGGAAGATAAAACCTGAAAGATTCCTGTTTGTGGGAGACTTTTTCCCCTCATTTTTCATACTAAGAAAAAGGCTCAGAGAATTGAGTTATTTTCAAACATTAAGAAGGCTAGCAGAAGATAAAACTGAGCACAAGTTCAATGCCATCTTCAGTTGAACTAAAAAATAAAAGCAATTATCCCATAGTCCAACAGATAGGACAGCCAGTAAAGCACATTGGGTCTCCCATAATCAGATGTATATGAGGAGGTAAACTACTCTCCTTAAGGAATGAAATGAAAACGGAATGGCCAGTACGTTCTAGTAGTCTTTTCATGTCACACCTCCTTATTTGCTTTGTGGAAACTGTAGTTCCCTTCAGAAAACAGAGGAGCAGTGACGAGGGGCTAGAGTCTGATGAATCCCATGTGATAAAATTCAAGTTCAAAATCTGTTTTATTCTTTCCATACGTTACTCTCTCTTTCCCCCCATTTTCCACTTGAAGCTAAAAAACTCAAAGGCTTGCCAAACTTCTTTGGTTTTCCATGACTTGAATCAAAATACAGCATACAGATTGTAGAAATCAACGCAAAGTGCTCAGTGAACTTAAATGATTTGTTTGCCAGCCAGTTCATCAAGGGACACTGATGTATGCGTCTAATATACACAGTCGCCAATATATACATCACAGCATATTTACATAGTTAAGAACTGCTTTCTGTTTATTCAAAAACAACATTACAATATTTCTTACGGACTATGAAAACACAAAAAGACATAAAACTTTTGAGGCTGGCATCATGGCATAGCAGGCTAAGCCACTGCCTAAAATGCTGGCATGTCATAAGGGCACTGATGCACTGCCCTGCTGCTCTGCTTCCGAGCCAGCACCCTGCTTATGCTCTGGGAAAGCAATACAGGGCACTTCAGGTCCTTGGGCCCGGCACACATGCAGGAGAACTGGAAAAACTTTAGGCTCTAGGCTTCCAATTGGCCCAGCTCTGCCCTTGCAGCCATTTGGTGAGTATACCAGTAGTTGGAAAATCTTTCTTTATCTCTGTAATTCTGCCTTTCAAAAAAGAAACAAAAAAAAAGACATAACACTTTCAGAGTTTTTAAAATTATCAACAAGAAAAGAAGTATGCAAATTCTCTTCCACAAAAAGAAGCTGTGTTTTCCCCACAGCTGCCTTACTTGTCCATCACAACACATTACAGTTGAAATGTCAGGAGTAGAAGTTACCAGGAATAATTCATGAGCATGTTAGTAATAAAAAAAAATCTCAGGCGGAAGTAGCAGCAGTAGCAGCAGGAGACATCGGCTGAGCACTTACAATATCCCAGAAACTGTGCTAACTGCTTTTCATGAACCTTTTCATTCAATCAACTCAACAGTGTTAAGGAAACTGAGGGATAAAAAGGTTAAATCAGTTGCCTAAAATTACAATAAAATAAATTAGAATCATAATTTAAGCGATACATCCCAAAGTACTGTTTTTGTTTTCAGTTTTTTGAATAGATTCTTTACTTTGGGGCCAAAGTCATTCAAACATAATAAATATGAGCAGTATTCAAGATGTCTATGATAGAAACCACAGATCATGTCAATTATCAGATAGTGTACTGTCATTTTATTTTATTTTTTTACTCTACTTTATTATTATTATTTTAATAAAACACCTTCCTGCAACAATGGAGAGCTCCTTCACCACTTCTCCTTCCTAGGGATACTCAGCAGGGAGGCTGGGGGGAACTGCGGGATTTGGGATCTTCTCAACGGAAACAGAGCTCATGTAGTTGAGCTTGGTCCCAGCAGCGGACACGCTTCCCAGGGACCCTGCACTCCTTGCCATTCTGTACGTCCACCCCAGGGACCCTGCACTCCTTGCCATTCTCTATGTCCACTCAGGCGCCACACACTCCAGGCGTGGAAGCAGTGTCCCAGCTTGCTCTACACATTATACCTGCCCAGGCCTGCTCCAAGCTAACTGCCACCTGCAAAGCTGTAATTACAATTTTTCCAACACAGTCTGAGCCCCAGGCTCAGGGAAGAGGTCATTTCTTGGAGATAATTCCTTCAGTTCTAGTATATGTATATAGATCTTTTATATCTTCAGGGTTACTCTTTTATCATAGGCCAATAATCCATTATGTTAAATTCTCTCTTTTTAAAATCATTTTATGGTTTCTACCCCATGATACACTTGATATCAGATAGATCTGAGCTCAAATTTGACCAGTCACCAGCTTGTGGCCTTAAACTACTTAAAATACTTAAGTGATCTGAGTCTAAGTCAGTATTATAAATTGGGAAATCTTGTAGCACTTGCCACACCACAGTCATTATTGGGACTTCATGGGATGATGGATGTAAAGATAAATGAAGATGTCTAATAATAAATGGGGCCTTTTTCCTCCCCATCCTACTTGCAGCCTTCTGGTCAGGGTCAGTTACTATTTGTAAAGAAGATAGAAAGAAGCCAAGAAATAAAGTGTTCAGGTGACAATATCATAAATGGAAGAACAGTCAAGAGCAGACATGTTGTAACACACACAGCCCACGTAATTATGACATCAACCTTCCAGCATCTGTCTCCTTGAAGATCCCGTCCTGGTTAGGACACAGTTCGCAGCTGGGAGCAACGCCACATTTACAGGCATCACAAAACCAAGGCTCAGTGGAGTTTTCAGAAGCTGAGCTCATTATGGAGTCACTCTCTCCATCAACTCCATAACAACCTAGAAAACAGAAAGTATGATTAACATACGATTCTTCTCAACTCATATAATATCACTAAAGAAAAAAAAAAAGAAAAGGAAGGGAGACAGAAAAAAATCTGAAAAATCAATGGTTTCTATCAGTGATATTAAAACAAAAACTGATATCACCAGGTGAAAACATTTTTTTCACCTAATGAGGCAAACATAATAAACTAAATAATATTTTAAGACAGTGTTAATCCATTGAAAATGCACCGAAGGAATGAAAAACTTTATAAGTCCCCAAAAATTATGATTTGAAGAAATATTAAAATATCAGTTCTCATTAAAAAGAAATGAGAATAATATATTCTTGACCACTAAGCAGTTTCTGAGGTCACTTGTGTCCCAAGCACTAGAACACACATAAAAGACCAAGTGCCATGTCCTGTAAGGCCCCACCTGGTTTACTCCCATCACCCTGACCACTGGCCAGCTCACTCAGCTCTGGTTATACTGCCTCTGTACTATTACACAAACACCACAAGTATTGCCCAATTCATGAATTTCAAAGATTACTATTCCTGTTCCTATTGTCTAGAGTCTTCTTCCCCCAAAATATTAACATACTTACTCCTTCAATTTCTTAAGTCACTGGTCAAATATCACCTTATCAGAGAGGACTTTCCTTACCATCTTTTATCAATACAAGCATCAACTTTCTTTACCCCACCCAACCATCCCCATCCATAGGATTCTCTAGGGTTCTTATCTTTATTTTTCTCCTTAGACTATCACCTGATAGCCATATACTGGTTTATTTGCTCACTGCTTGTGTCTTAGACATTAAGCTCCATAAGCAATTTGCTTCACATGCCTAAAATTTATACACTGCCAGAGTTGGAATTGTGTCTTGGTAGTTTAAGCGACCACCTGCAATGTGAACATCCCAAATGGATGCAAGTTCATGATCTGGCTGCACCATTTCCAATGCAGCTCCCTGTTGATGCACCTGGAAAAGCAGCAGAGGCTGGCCCAAGCACTTGGACTTCTCAATAACATCATACAGCTGGGAGAAGCTCCAGACTTCATCCTAGCCCCTGCCATTGCACAAATGAACCAGCGAATGGAAGATTTCTCTTTCTCTCTGTCTCTCCCTGTCACTCCCTGTCACTCCCTGTCACTCTTTGTAATTCTACCCACCAACAAATAAAACAAATCTGAAAAACAGATTATACAGTGACTAACTTATAGAGGACACTCGACAAATTATTACTCAGAGAACACAAATGAATGAGTAACAGGAGACTTCGTCAGCAAGAAGGCACCTGTTTCTGAAGGCAAGGGGATTTCATGAAGACAGGCCCCATGGGTCTCACAAATCCAGAAAACTGCCAGTTCTATTTTGAAAGGAGGGATGAAATATTAAAAAAGGAGAAAAGGGAAAGGCCATGGAAATTCTGTTATAGTAGTTATGATCCTGACAGGAAGAAATTACCTGATTAAAAAAAGTAAAACTTTATACTGAAAGACAAGGAAGAAAATTTCTCAACCAAGTGAACAAAATAATAACACGACAATTGCAGAAATAAATATGAACACAACAGAAATCTTATGTCACCCCTGCCAACAGCAAAGACATGAATCCAAACATGAGAAAATATGGGGATAAGGGACAGAAGAAGAAAAAACTGGATTATTGTCTTCAAACTATCAGTGGAGGAAGCACAAGTACTGGGGAATCCTTCTGGATTAAAGTTAATCAAATTGTCACCACAACTGAACACAGTGCAGGAGCCCCGATTTTGTTTTGCCAGAAATGACATTACTGAAATAACTGGGGTACAGTCTGTAGATGAGCAATGTAATATCCTGTCAATGCTGACTTCCTGATTATGATTAAGTATGTAATTGTTTAAGAGAATTGGGTAAGAAATATTCACTGAAGTATCTGGGGTTAAAAACATTATGTCTGTCTAGAGTTTACTGACATAGAGAGGAGAGAAAATTTTTATATGACAGAACAAATAAAACACAGTCGAATGTTATCACAGTAAGTCAGAGTGAAGGCACATGAAAATTCTATTAGTCTGAAAAATTTCTAGTAAGTCAAATTATGTCAAATCAAAGTTTTAAAAAATACATAAAAGTACACAAAAAATACATGACATTTGTCTTAAATTAATGGGAAAAAGAGTGTTTTCAATATATTACAGTGGCTCCTACTTCATATTCTAGAAGATAATCTCTGAAAATTCTTTGAGATTTCAAAAATGATATCAATAGATGTAGATTTAACTTTTCAACTAATATTTTCTATTAGACTGCAACATTATTTTTTTTTTACTTCTAAATTTCACTAAAAAACTAGAAATACATAATTCAATAAAGGCGAGGCCAGCACTGTAGCTTAGCATCTCATATAAGGCCTGGCTTATGTCGCTGCTGCTCTGCTTTCAATCCAGCCTCCTGCAAATGCACCGAGAAAGCAGCACAGGTGGCTCCAGTGCTTGGGTCCCTGTTACCCGCATGAGAGACCCGCAAGAAACTCCAGGCTCCGTGCTTTGGCCTCGCCCAGCCTTGGCTTTTGTAACCAGTTGGGGAGTGAGTTAGCAAATGAAAGGCCTTTCTCTCTCCCCTGGTTTCCCATGCCATAACTCTGCCTTTCCAATAAATAAACCTCAAACAAATAATAATTCCATGAAGGGAATATTGTAACAATGATCTGTAAACAAATTCTGTGATCTCTATATAATAATAATTGCATCTATTTAAGATGCATTTTTGCATTCAGGTAAAAATAACTCACTATCCATCAAAAATTCAATATTCATGATTTCAGATGAAGCATCATGAATTATTGTAGAAAAGCCTCAGGACAGCACAAATGTAAAAGAAGTGATTTTATTTGTTTGAAGGTGGAATAACTCGGCCGTTTCGTTTGTAGACAAAATAGAGCAGTTACCTTCATGTACTGTAATGCCACAATTGTCACACTGAATGATCTCATCAGCATCCTCACTATTATCTCCAAGACAAACACAGCAAATCAGAATATGATCCATTTTTTGAGAACTCCAGTTTTGGCTCTTCTCAAGAATCAGCGAGTCCTAACATCAAAATATTAAAGCATATCAAAAAATCATGCGTTTACATTAAGAGTTCATGAAAGTCACACTTTCAATTAGTTCAACACATTTTTGCATTGGAAATTTATGTCACATTCTCCACTTTCTCAGTAACTTCAAAGTCTGCCACATTTGAGAAGCACAACTCCTTGTCGAACAGCATTCTAAGTACCCTTCTCTCCTAGTTCCATGGTATCCCTCCTTTAGAAAATGAAAGCAGGCATAAAAATAACTTATTGGTGGAGCCAGTCAGCTTCGCCCCTTCAACCAGGAGAAAGAAAAAAATTAATTCACAAGTAATTAACATTCCTATACACGGGTTTCAAAAAACATGACACATGATTCCTACAATTTGTGATCTTATATTTTTGCCCAGGAAATACGAGGCACACAAATACAAAACAAGAAGCAATAAATGATAAGGATAACATACAGCAGTTAAACTCTACATTCTCTTAAAGCCTGGCAAAGTCACGGATACAGGGCTAGCCACTACTAGATGACAGACCCATGAATGCCTCTACAGCTAGGGCTGTGTAGACAAGGACAGAAAGGAGCTTAAAATAGGATTCAGGATGGCTAGAGGCTAGAAAAGCGAGGGTAATCTGTTAGGTTTTCAATCACGAAATGTCAGCAATGTATTGGACATCTAGAGCTGTAAGGAGAGGGGAAAAGGTAGTAATAGACAAAGGAAGGGGGAAAGTCAGCTTGTTTTCATTACAATTTCTGTACTGTGAATTTAAGCTTCATGTAAGTTAACAGGAAAACGAATCATCATATTTAATAAAGTGGGCTTAATGTTACACATCATAAAGCATTTCAGTCTATATAATTTAGCAACTTAAACATGTTCAGAAAAAAAAATTAAGGAATTAGTTCCATACCATAGATTTACTAATATATTTGGTTTTATATTAGTTTTTCTTATTTTTATAATATATGAACTTCACAAATAGCAACAAAGCATTTAAAGCCATCATTGCAACAATGATTCACAAAGACATGTCACATCCAAAATCAAAACTATTAATTCCTTCCATTTTTTTGCATAACAAATTTTTTCAACTAATCTTAAACCAGAAAAAAAAATGCGAAATTCGGTAAGAAAAATTCATTCCTCATTTCTCTGGAGGAAATACTTCAAAGTTTAATATTTTGTTTCTCTTTATTAGAAAAATCAAATAAAATAGTTTAGAGTGAACAAACACCTAGAAAATAGGGTAAAAATGAAACATCTTTTGTTTCATCCTACATTGGTACAACAGGCAAAGAAAATCTGCCCAGATTTTCACAGCTTCGAAGGTAAGTAGATTTCACTTACAGTCAAGCATTCTTGTGTTACGTCCCCCAGCTCACTCAATGTTGCAACTTCACATGATGGCCAAAAAAAAAAAAAAGCCAAACAAGGCTATTATGAGAATTAGCCAGACATGTGAGAATATTTCTTGCATAGCTGGGCATTGAAACATGTAGTTCCCTTTGCTTCCCTGTACATTTTGCATGTGGTTCAAAAGAGAAACACCACCAATAGTTTATAGAAAAGTTAGAAGCCTCAATAGGCACTACCACTTGAAATATTCATTCAGAGAAGAAGTCCAAACAAGTTTTTCTCTTCTTAATATCACATCTAGGTTAAAAAATCAGATTAAGAAAGAAGATAGCAAACTGTTTTTGTAACAAAGACATTCCTTGTGTTTAAATACTCAGTTGACTTTTTTGCTGGTAGATGTACCATTAAATCTAATTCAATGTGACTATCTTTAAAAAATAAACAAATAAACCTCAGCCTGGTGTGACAGCCTACGAGCTAACCCTCACTTTGCATGCGCCGGAATCCCATGTTAGTACCAGTTCATATCCCAGCTGCTCCACTTCCCTTCCAACTCCCTGCATGTGGCCTGGGAAAGCAGTGAGAACGGCACAAACCCTTGGGACCCTGCACCCACATGGGAGATCCAGAAGAAGCTCCAGGCTTCTGGCTTCAGATTAGTTCAGCTCCCACCATTGTGGCCACTTGGGGAGTGAACTAGCGGATAGAAAATCTTTGTCTCTTTTTCACATAAATCTGAATTTCCAACAAAAGTAAATAAATCTTTTAAAAAACCAACTCTCTATTAAGAATATAAAATTATATTTTAAAACAGTAACACAAAGTTGTCTCCACTGCTAAATATTCTTTATGAAAAGGATTTTTTTTTTCTTTTTGCAAAACAAAACTGCCATTTCTATTGGCATGGGTTTCTGTCATTTTAATTCTAATCTAAAATTCAAGCTTCAAGGCTGGAAAATAGAACCTATTTTCTGAACAATATTACAATTGTTCTTCTCAAAAACCTTACCTCAAAAAGTTAAATAATCTAAGCGAATCCATATTTGGGGGAAAAAAAGGCTAAAAAAGACACACACCCACATTCAAAGGGGATTACTGAGATTACACTAAACTCAGAAAACCCCATAGGCCATTGGCACAGACAGCTGTCCATCTGCAGAAATGTAGGTTATCCAATGTTCATTTATAAAACAGTCGTTTTCACGGGACAGTCAAGGTGAACTCTCCATCAGGGAGTACAAAAGACAATTTTGTTAATGATATTAGGGTGTTATTATCCTTTTTCATTCTCTTACTCCCCTGGATATATGATGAAGCCTTTCTCTAAGCTACATGAAATGGGAAATTGTCATCAATTTGACAATTGTGTTTCTATATGTCTTGTTCTTTGAAATTCCTGTTTTATTTTTAAAATTATACATCAACATACATAATCTGCATTACATATAATAATATAGATTCTCACAATTTTTAATAAGGATTCTGAAACCAAGACATTTAAAACAATAGTCATAAGGGGCAGTGCTGAGGTATAGCACGGTATACCTCCTCCTGCATTGCCGACATCTCATGTGGGTATCAGTTCAAGTCACAGCTGTTCCACTTTCAATCCAGCTTCCTGCTAATGTTCCTGGGAAAGCAGTGAAGGATGGAACCCATGCTTGGGCCTGTGAACCTACGTGGAAACCTGGAAGAAGCTTCTGGCTCCTGGCTTCAGACCAGCCCAGCTCCAATCACTGTGGCCACTTGGGGAATGAAGCACTGGATAAAACATTCCCTCTCTCTCATTTTCTGTTTCCATTTTTTGCTCTTGTAACTCTGCCTTTAAAATAAACATTAAAAAAAAAAATCTTTAAAAAAAAAAGGTAGCCAAAAAAAGGGACCTACTCAAAATTTAAAACTCTGGATTTCTTGGCACCATTTACCTACAAATGATGGTCAACAAGAATTTCTCATTAATTCACTTGCCAGCCACCAAGAAAACAGCCTATCTGCTTGTAAATTAAATGTGATCTAATTCTTGGATGTGTTTCTATAGCCACATTTTCAGATAATCTCAAGGTAGAATCTGAAAACAATAAGAGCAGAATATAACAAAAAGTTTAAATATACTCAAATATACACTTAATTATCTAATGAATGCTTAGTGATTGTCACTTCCTGAAGTATTCAGGAAGAAACAAAAACATAAGCCACAATGTAACAAAGATTAACATTCATCATGTTTTGCACAATCACATGAACTGGAAATTTAGAAATATAATAATCTCAATTGGTAATTAAAATCTGGTATCAAAATATTTGGTGTAATTTAAATAGAACTAAAATGATCTAGAAACTGAAGAAGAGTGTGAACGTTAGTCATGTCAGAAAATGGAAAATTAACTTTCTATATGCAGAAAAACACTTTTGAATTCCTGGAATGCTTGGGTCTATTAACCAAACCAGGTAAGGTCTCTTTACGTATTGAAGTCTGCATCACGAACATTAGGTTACCACCTCTTAAGCAATATATTATGATCTACGGGTAATTAACAATCAACTATATACATTTTATATGTCAAATTTCTAAACATGCTGGCTTCTCCGACACCTCAGCATAAATCTAATCTACACTGCCTCTAATCAGCCACACTTCTTTGTGAATATCAGCCTAATAAAATGGAAGAAAATGATGTTGGCAAAAGTAAGAGTATTCAGTAGACATAAAGAGTGAGTATTAAGCATTATAAAATAAAGTGAATGCATGCTCAAATTAAAAAGAAACAACTAAAGCTTTCCATACCCATTTCTTTCAATCAGCATATTAATATGGAACAGCCTAGGTTAAATCGTTAAAAACACCATTCTACCCCAGATGATAATTCTTCCATAGATAAAGATAAGATTTAGGATAGCCTGGAGGGCAGGCAACATTGTCATATGAAAAGGGCAAATCTAGAAGTTTATAATCCAAGATATAAACTTACGTTTCATCATTACTAACATATTATCCCTGAGAGCCACTTTGTTATTTTGGTAATAAAATGGCCAAATCTTACATAAAATTTAATTAAAATAGAAAAATGTGAAAGAACAAAGTATAAAAAAGAAAAATTTCTATCAGATTAATCTATTTTAGTGACATGAAATAACAGTGCTTGGTAAAGAGGTAAATTTGATGACTATAAACATATTAACAGAAATGACAGAATTAATTATCATAGTTTCACATGTGATGTAACAGATACATCTACATGTAAGACAACAAGACAATCTTTTCCAGAAAAACATATACATAAACACACAGACAAAGGGACACAAAAGTGTTTGAAGAATCTTGCATGTTGCATCTCTGGACCCAATGGACACACCTAACTTTCAGCAGCAGAACTCCAAGTGGAAGCACTCAGTCATTACTGTTGTTTTATGATAGAAATATTTGTCTTATGATGGAATTGCTTGCTTTTTTTTTTTTTTCATTTCTTTGGAGACAGAACTTATTCACTAACCGTATGTATGCATAATTCACATTTACTCCCAATAAATAAACCAAATAATCTGGTGATGAGGGTTGCAATAATGGAACAGGAATTAACCTTGAAATGAATCTATACGAGTTACAGGAAATCATTAAGTTGCTTGTTGCCCTGCTCGAAAAATATCCTAAAGCTGTGCATGTGTGTGAGGATACGGACATAACTAGGTTGCTTCATACTTCACTCAGCATCATCCAGCGGTCCTATGAGGAATGTTGTGAAGGTAATAAAAGGGATTAGAAAACTCTCCTATTTCCCAAAACTCTGGGTATAAAACAAAAAATCTCTAACTAGTATGCCTTGAAGACGGCTGGCGAGCGCCTTGAGAACGGTGGCGCATGGATCTTGACCAAATGAATAAATGTTACATTGCAAGGTGCTCATTCGCTATCACAGGTGTTTGTAAAACAGGATGTCAAGGAATGCCCCTAATATAACCAGTAGAGTTAGAGAATTCCCTTTGCCCCAGACAGACAGATATCATAAAAATTGGGTTGATCTACCTCATTACTCTTGCTCTGAGATAGTGTCAGGCTATCATTGGTCAGTTCCTCATCATCAGCACTGTTTCTGCTAAGAACTTTACTCTTCTTCTTGCAGCCCCCTTCACTGGCGGGGCTGCTGTGATCTTCCTCATTGCCTTCGTCATTCTCATCCTCATCACTCCCACTTCCCTCATCTTCATCATCCTCGTTGTCCCCATCACTCCCCTCTTTCTGAGACGCGGATCTCCCCTTTCTTTTCACGACCGTCGGCCGCCAGTCGTTGTCGTCTTCACTGTCGTAGTCATCCATGTCGTTTAGCTCTTCCATGGACACGAAATCCAACAGCGGCCGGTTTCGACGAAGGTTCCACTTCTTGGGCTCGCTGACTTGCTCTTCGGCCGCGGTGGTCGTGGCAGGGGTGGCAGGGGAGGTGTGGGCAGCAGGAGGACTCGTGCTTGGGGCAGCAGCGGCAGCAGTAGAGGCAGCCACACTGTCCGATGCCGTTGACTTTTCTTTCTCCTTCTCTTTGTCTTTCTCTTTTTCCTTTTTCTTTCTAGGTTTCTCTCCATTTTCTTCTTCCTCCTTCTTTTCCATTTTAATTAACTGTTTTTCTGATGACACTATTTCATCATCTCCACAGCTTTTAAGTTCTTCCTTTATTTTGGCATCTTCATTCACTTCTTCCTCTAAAACATTTTCTTCAGAATCGCTACAGGAGCCGTCTCCACTGTCCTTTGAAGGATCTTCACTTCCATGACCACTCCCCTCAGAATCTGTCGAAAACATGAGAAAAAAAAAACCACACATATGTATGTACATACACACACACACACACAACGCTGACAAATGAAACCACCAACATTGGTGAATAACTTGCAAAACAATATGAACAAATTCAAGTCAAAGAATGGTAGACATTCCCCATCTGATTAAATAAATCAATGAAGTTGGTAAACAGTTTAATTCGATAGCACTAATGAAGATGAATATATGCAACTCAAAATTAAAATGTGCTCTGAAGAGAGGAACAGTATTTTGTGTTACATATCTCACACTACATTGGAATTATTGATGCAATATTTTCTAAAGGCAAAGGTGCTTTTAAAAATTTGGGCATTTGATTTTAACTTAGTGAGTATATAATACACAAAAAAAGTATTCTTCCTTTAAAAAAGCATAATCTTAGAAATGCCACATTTGTCACAACCAAAACATGATTCTAAGATTCTACATGTATGTCTGTGTGTCCTTCTCTCCAGCTCTGTGTTTATATTAAATAAATAAATGAATAGACAAGACCAGTACCATACAGAAGGTTGTGTTGCCACCTGCAACAATGGCATCCTATATGAATACCAGTACAAGTCCCAGAAGCTCCTCTCTGATCCAGTCCCCTGCTAATAGTCCAGGAAAAAATGGAAGATAACCATGTGCATGGACCCCTGCCAATCACACGGGAAACCCAGATGGAGTTTCAGTTTCCTAGCTTTGGCCTGGTCAAGTACCAACTAATGTGGCAATATGAGGAGTGAGCCAGTAGACAAAGATCTCTCTCTCTCCCCCATATCCTCTTTGCAACTCTTTCAACTAAATAAATACTTTTAAAAAAGACAATATAGTTGCCCCTGAAAAACACTTTACCTCATTAAGTTTAATTTTTATGAAGCAAAATAAGCACAGACATTTATTTGTACTTTTATAAATTCTAATAGATTTGAGAAGTATCAAATATATGAGTGAAAAGAGGCAAAGCAGTGGCCTGGCATAGATGGTCCAAGCCAAGTTATTGCTTTTCCTACTTACTAGGATATAGTTTGTACCAGTAAAAGAATATTCACCTAAACTTTCAAAAACTCTAGGGGCAGGCCATTGGCCTAGCAATCAAAATGCGTATGAGCCATGAAGTATCCAGCTATCACAGGCATTTGGGGCGTAAACCACGAGTTGGGAACACTCCCTTTTTTGTTTATTTCTCTCTCAATAAAATAAATTTATATTCTTAAAATTCTAGACCATAAGCCAGAGAACTGGAGAAACTATTGAATAAATGAATTTGCCCTTATGGAAATGTAATCCATCCAGGAGTCAATCCTAAAAAATAGGTTGTGGCTTTAAGCAGCTTTTACAAGGACTATAAACTTCCCATCAAAGTTCTTCCATTGTTGCTTAGCGTGGTTCATTCTTTCTCAACAGATCTGTGAAGATAATGTTCTGTTGAGAAACACAACATTGTTCAGTAAGTTTCTAATCTTCTATAAACTCACTCAAATAAATAAAACTCAAAAATATTTGGAGGGAAGGATAAATAGGAACAAGAAAAGAGCAGCAAACATGAGGAGATGGGGGAGGGGAAACAGTAATAGTCAAGTCTTCAGCAACAAATACCAGCAATGAAATCTACGGGATACTGAATCATCAGCACAATCAAGGAAAAAATAACAAATGATGGGAAAATTCAGTCCCCATGCCATTTCAATTTCCTTTAATTCAAAAAGATCTAACTAGACATTAAAGGCGAAGGAAGGTGTAATTAATACCTAGTATCTAAAGTACCCCAGATGTCCTATATAAATGGCAGTTAATAAAAGTAGCCTGTAAATTGAAGCACATAATAATTATTAACACTTAACAGCTATTGGATGTTCTCAAGATTATCATGTAGAGCCACAGTTAGTTAAGAATATTCTTCAAATACATTCTCATCCCAAACAATCTTGCATAGGACACAAGAGCAGTATCATGCAGGACAAGACATCTCATCTTAAGTATTTAGAAGCAAACATATTTCAGAATCCAGATTTGTTTTCAGAATTTGGAAGGTTAACATGACATATATGGTAAGCACGGCATGAACATCCAGTAAACTCTATGGCATTACATCTATAATGAAACACATTGTTCCTGCAGAGAAAGGCATGAATATTTAAAGAATATAAAATAAAACTATGAACTCATTCATATTAGTTAAGTTTTTCCATCAAATAAGTTTGTGCCCAATGAAGAAACACTTCAGCATTTTTTTTAGTTCCTTGGATTTAAAAAGTGTGAGGCGAGTATGACTTACAGAAGATGATTTCAGTCAAAGCACGCTACAACTCATTTAAAAATTTATGATTTTTAAACCAGATAATCATTAAACACAACCTCCCAATGAAAAATAATGGTAAAAAATAATAATGGCTAGCTCCTTTAAAATAAGGATTTGGTATTTATTTATTTATTTATTTGTTTGTTTATCTAGGATTTGACATTTAACTAGAGCTGACGAAACAGTCTGAAGGCATAAGAGTCCTTGTGCACAGGAACTACGGAAAACTGAAACACAGCACTGCTATAATTGCAAGAGTAAAAAGTTGGACATCAGGGTTCTGTGATAGCTCAATTGTTTCTTCCTATAAGCACTAGCATCCAATATGGGCACCAGTCACGGTCTGGCTGCTCCATTTCTCATACAGCTCCTTGCTTGTGGCCTGGGAAAGCAGCGGAAGATGGTCCAACTCCTTGGAACCCTTAATATCCACATAGGAGACCCAGAAGAAGCTACTGGCTCTGGTCTTTGGATTGACTCAGTTCTGGCTACTGTGGCCATTTGGGGAGTGAACCAGCAGATGGAGGATCTTTCTGTCTCTTTCACGCTGCAAAATTTGCTTTTCCAATAAAAATAAATAAATCTTTAAAAAAGAAAGATTTATTTAAAGTTGGATTTTTATCTAAAAGCCTTTGTGTCAATAAAAAAAAATTTACTAATAAATACAAAAGTATGATAAACTAGTGCCAAAGTATGGAAACCTGATCAAAACTGAGACTGATTCAACTTTGCTATTACTTGGTAAATTTTTCAAACTGTCATAGATTTTTGCAATTTTGTTTTGATTGCTGATCCCAATGACAAGTAATTACTCTTAAAAGTTGAGCTTTTGATTCTGTTCTTAAAATATTTTTATAATTGAAATTTTACTTCTCTTTTGGCCAAATAAAAGGTAGCCTTGCTCAAGTACATAATACCAAAGTTTCTCCAAGCAATACTATTTCAACTACAAGTTATGTAATTTATTTATTACACTAGCAGAATTGCAATAGTAACCTACAAGAATCTTCAAAAAATATTAACACAAAATTAGTGTAATAATAACCATCAATACCATTAGCAACCAATGCTTAAGCCTTCCCCATGATAAATACTAAACTATAACACTGGTGATTTAATTCAGATTTTATATTTACTTTGCAAAATTAACAATCTTAATTCATAAGTTTCACCAACTTTAATCCTTCTATTTATTGATCTAACACAATAGGTATTCACACCGTAAGTACACACAAGAGAAAATAGACAAATCACTAGTTTACTGGTCATTCAATTAACCCCTGGGGACCATTTTTCTCTAACTCCGCATACCTCATGATAAAAGTCATCAGTCAACACAATTCGCCCTCCACTCCTGAACCCCAGTTCCATTTGTATCTTCTTACACTTGCTGGGTAAATCTCAAATAGGGACAGGCTTCCCTCAGAAGACATCTGGCAACATCTGGAGACAACTGCTACTACAAGAACAGTGTGGACAGGGAGGTAAGATGCCCCTGGCACTGACTAAAGGACAGGGATGCTGTTAAACATCCTACAATGCACAAGAGAAGCCTCCACACAAAGACCTATCCAACACAGAATGCCCACAACATCAAGGCTGAGAAATATTTCATCTAGTAATTACACTTGTATAAGACTCCACTAAGACATAATTCTACTTACCCAAATCTACCTTTTCTATTATTTTACTCAATCTTAATCCATAAATAAAAAATGACATTTCCAAGCCCCCACACCTAGAACAGTTAAGGTTTTCCTCATCAACACTGCCATTAAATCTAAAATATCTCTCAATTTAGTTCCCTGATGGACTAATCCAAGATGAATCTGGACTATTGTAATCTCTATGCCTTTGAAGACATAAATGCAAATAACATATCCTCCTTTGTATCATGTTGATAACTGTTTGGTGTTTTTTGTATATAAAGCTAAACCAAAATATAAACTGTGTTAATCTTCGAAAGTTCAAGATGAAGATAAGAAATGGGCACACAGAATACATTTATCAAAAATTGAGCTCAACCACTCTAGCTGCCTTAACAGAAGTCCTAAAAAGTCAACGATTTGTTCAGGAAGTCCTTTACTGAGGTTGCTATGAGAGAACATACTATCAAATGGACATTTTGAGCTGTTTCTCCATCTCCAGTTTAATTTTCTATTCATAACGAGGGTTGGGACTACCCAATTTCAAAATGTATGAAAGCCAATGATTGGTCTAACGTCCTATTTCCTGTAAAGGCCTAGCTAAACTTACCTTTTAAGAGAGGAAAAACAAAGGATTCAAACAGAAAACATTGGTAACGTAAAGCAGGCTGTTATCTCAGTTATGGGGAGGATCTAAAGCAAGAGTGGAAAATGTTCAATTTCTACTTGCTATTATTTATTTTAAACAAAATTACTTTCTATTAAACCTCTTTTTCCTATTAACCATCGCTTAAGCTACACAGGGACTGTGAAGGTCAACTATGAGTACAGCTGACAAAGTATTACAGAGCAACAGGGAACAAAAACACATATGGGACATTTTCAGGGGAGATATATAAAGCTAACAAAATTTATATTATTACATTTCACAAATAATACACAACTCTCGTTATGTCTAATGACAAGGTCAGGAGTCTCTATTAGCTTGATGCCATGAATTATTTTAGGAGAGCAGTTCATGTCATTACTTTTTTTTTTAACTGATTGCCAAAAGAAGTGATACCCAAGAATGACTCCATCTCAATAAACAGAAAGGAAAAACAAAAATACACAGTGAGAATTTATTACCAGAACCATAATTATGAAACACTTACAGAAATTGGCTATATAATTTTTCCAATAATGGCATCTGAAAAACAGGAAACTTCTGAGGCTCAGTTATTCTTGTTGCACACCACAACCCCAAACCTAACAAACTGAAAACTACAGTCGAGCCAAGATATTATCTGCCCAGGTCTTCACCAAGAGAAGTAAGAGAATTCTACCTCCTATCCCTTCCCTGTCTTTCTTGGGAAATACTAAGTCTCAATAAACTAAGAGTTTTTTGAGGTCAGAGTTGAGAGACAAAAGTTAAAAAATAAATAAGTAAATAAGAAAAAGTTAGCAGCTTTGGATTATTGGAGTCAATTGGTTTGTAACTGTGACACCCACGCAGTATCAGTTTAAGATTACATCTCCCATTCTTGTTAATCAGTGAACACTTAAATGTGCAACACTTAAAAGTGTCCTTAGGCAAGTTCTTTAAACTGTTACCCTTTTCATTTGCAAAAAATACATAGTTGAGTAAAACTTAACATAGTTATTGTAAAAGAAAAATGATATTATGTAAACAAAATGTTCCAACTGAACCACAGTACAAGTTTTGTTTGTTGTTATTAATGAAAAAGCTACAGTAAGACAATATAATCCATTCATCCCTCCCTATTCTCTCCAACAGAAGGGGGGGGGGGAGGCACACAGGCAAGAAGATGGGGGGAAAAAAAGAGATGTTCTTTAAGCATAGAAAGTTCTCTAAAGGATATTTTCAAACTATCAAAGGAATAAAATTTAAAAGGCACCTATTTTTCAGTTGTTTCCACCAAAAGATGCAGAATATTGAGTAAGTTCATGTGTTTTTTTCTCACATATGTTTAAACCATTTTATGTAATTCCTCCTAAAACTTTATAATATGTGCATAAGGTATGTTCACTAGAAGAGAAAAAGGAAAAGTATATTTCTGTTCCCCAGTTTGATACAAAGCAAATCATCTTTCTTAAGTTGTTTTTAAAATCGCTAAAATGAGCAAGCATGGTCCAGCCCCGGTAGCCTAGTGGCTAAGGTCGTCTTGCATGTGCCAGCATCCCATAGGGGCACCAGTTGGTATGCAGGCTGCTCCACTTCCCACCCAGCTCCCTGCTTGCGGCCTGTAAAAGCAGTAAAAGATGGGCCAAAGCCTTGGGACTCTGCACCCACGTGAGAGACCCAGATCAGCTCAGCTCCCCGCCCCGCCCCCTCGCTGCATTCACTTGGGGAGTGAACCAGCAGATGGAAGATCTTTTCCTTTGTCTCTTTCTTTCTGTAATCCTGACTTTCCAATAAAAAATAAATCTTAAAAAAACGAGCAAGCATGCACGCTGAGACATTTCAGAGATATCTGAAAAGGCCCAGATTCACAAGTTCCAGCAGCTGGTACAACATAAAGTACTTGGATCAATTTTATTCTAGAGAATAAAGGGAAAAAAACAACCCCCCTCCCCATCACAGCCCATCTACCTAGGGCTATGTAGAGTCCACATCACTGCCCAGTATTATTCTACTTTGGGATTTATCTCAGTCTTTCCCCTGTCCATGGAAATAAGCAGAAACATATTTTAAGGTTTAGAATAGAGAAACTGCCCTGGCATCTTTGTCAAAAGGAAAAGTCCTCCCTCCCCTGCCCGCTAATTATTGTTGGCTCCATAGTAATGAAAACAGAAGCAATGATAGGATTTAGGAGTGACAGATCTCAGGAAACTATGGGAAATCAAATGGACAAAACAAATGAAGTGTATGTGCTTTCACTTTTACATGGGTGTTTTATTCACAATTGATTCTTTAAAGAGAGGGGAAAAAAGGTGTAAAGTCGAGCCCAACTCCGGAAAACCGGGCCAGGGAAAGAGAAGGAAGCATTTACCTGAAGCATCTCCAACTTTAAAATCACTGTCATCTGAACTATCGTAATCGAGAGCTTCTAGGAGAGAAGCTGCCAAGGGCTTCACCTGCCTCCTCTTGGAGCTGCGATCCACTGTTAGGAGAGAAACAGCCAGCGTCATTCCAAGGACAGTCCCCGCAGGTGAGAGCCCCGTGGAGGCCTGCACGCAGGGGTGCGGCTGGGGTGCGGACACGCGCGGGCCCGCCAAGCCCCAAGTCCACCCCGGGGGGCGCGGCCCACGCCTGTCCCTGCGGGGCCCACCCGCCAAGCCCCCAGCCCACCTCTCCGTGCCAAGCCCCCCACCCCCGAGCTGTCCCTGCCACTCCCCGAGTCGGACACCTTGGCAACCCGAAGAAAGGAAACCCAACTCCCAGGGCAGGGCATTCATCGCGGGCCCGTGGAAGGACCGCGGAACCGGGTGTCCACCCGCCCCAGGGCCCCGGTCCCCCTCATCCCCACGACCCCCGGCCCCGACCCGCTCCAGTGGAGCTCTCTCCCCGCGCGGGCCTCAAGCACACTTACTAAGGAATCCGTGCGGCTGGTCGTTGGGAGGAGACCTAGAGAGAGGCTGCGGGAGCCCAGGCGTCGGCGGGCCGGGGGCTGAGGCCGCGGAGGCAGGCTCACAAAGACGCCGGGTCCGGCCCGGGGCCCACCCGCCGCCCCCCAAGACTTGGCTCGGCCCCGGCTGCTCGGGTCCCTTCCCACGGCGCGCCCCGCCCCGGCCAGAGGCAGCCTCGGGAGTGCACACACCCCCCGTTGAGACTGGAACGGGGGGAAAAAAATGTCAGGAAGAAAATCTTTATTAGCCTGCCGCAGAAGTCACAGAAGACGCCCCCCAGATGGTACACGGCCCCAGGCCGGTTGCCTGAGACAATAGGGAAAGCAGCGACCCGGATACAGCTCGGAAGAGAAGGAAGTGAAAACACGAGGCTGAGCGCGGCCTTCGCAGCGGCCGAGCGCGCGTGCGCCCCACTCGCCCTCCCGCTGCCTCCCCGGAGCAGCCGGAGCGAACCGAGCGGACGCCGAGACACCGAGCCGGGCCGGCCGAGCCGCGAGCGCTGCGGGACCCGAGCCGGCGGCCGGGCGCGGCCCAGAGCCGTGCAGCCCCGGAGCCGTGCAGCCCTGGAGCCCCGGAGCCGTGCAGCCCCGGAGAGCCGTGCAGCCCCGCAGCCCCGCAGCCCCGCAGCCCCGCAGCCCCGCAGCCCCGCAGCCCCGCAGCCCCGCAGCCCCGCAGCCCCGCAGCCCCGCAGCCCCGCAGCCCCGCCTCCTCCCGGGCTAATTTCGCCCCTTAGTCCAAGGCCCAGGGAGGAGGCTTTCTGTTCCTGGTTTTTGTGGCTTTCATTGTTATAATTGATGTGCATGTTAATTAGTTGTGATCGTTTCGTACTTATAGACCCTTGTGTAATTTGCGTTGCCGTATCCTCAGACTTCTGGGTATTTATAAAATATGCAATACGATGTTGTGATCATCCTCCTGTAATGAACTTATTCACCCTATCTATATGCTGGTACCTGTTACCTGGCCTCCCTCCCCCACCACTGCTGGTTTTTGTGTTTTACAGACTGGCTCAGTTAGCTGTCCACAAAGGGTTCTCTGTTGTCTTAAATCACTACCAAGAAAAGTAAGCTATGACACCTTCTTCCATAAACTAGATTCTGAAAATATCCTGGAACAGAAAAAATGCTTCCTACTAAATGATGTAACCTGACAATCACATTAGATTCTGATTGCCGTTTTCAAAATTACAAATGTAACAGAAAAGTTTTCATTTCTTAACTAACCATTATACTGAGAATGGACATTTGCACAGACATAAAACCCAGCAGTAATATTGGTAACAGAAAAGGAGAAGGAACACATCCAGGGGGAAATTCCTGTGCGTTTTTTCCTTCAGAATATGTGTCACAGGTCTGGTGTGATGGCCTAGTAGCCAAATCCTTGCCTTCAACGCATTGGGCTACCATATGAGCACCACTTCCTGTCCTGGCTGTTCCACTTCCCATCCAGCTCCCCGCTGGAGGTCTTAAAAAGCAGTAAAAGATGGCACAAAGCCTTGGGACCCTGCACCCACGCAGGAGACCCTAAGGAAGCTCCTGGCTCCTAGTTTCAGAATGGCTCAGCTCCAGCCACATGAGAAATGAACCAAGACCTTTCTGTCTCTCCTTCTCTCTGTAAATCTGAGTTTCCAGTAAAACTAAATAATTTTTAAAATGCATCACATGAAAGTGAAATAATTTCTTGCATCCAATTAGTGAATTCAATTTCTTTCTTTTTTAGATTTACATGCATTTGAAAATCAGGGTTACAGAGAGAAAGAAATCAAGCTTCATCCACTGGTTCACTCCACAGATGGCCATAACGGACACAGGCCAAAGACCGGGAGCTTCTTCAGATCAGTCACGTGGGTGGTGGGGGCCCAGGCATTTGCCCTAGCTTCTGCTGCTTTTCCTGGGCTAAGAGCAAGGAGCTGGATTGATTGGAATAGCCTGGACATGAACCCAGCACACAGGTGAGATGTCACTGTCAGAGGTGCCAGCTTTACCTCCTAGACCACTGCACCGATCCCAGAGAGTTTGTGTTTTAAGATGAATGTATAAAGCTTAAAAACATAAGGTCATTGTGTGCAACCAGATAAGGCAGTTGCTAACAGTTTAAATATCACATTTATTCACATGCATTATTCACATATCTATTAAATGTTAGAATAAGAAATAGTATTTCCTCTTTAAGATTTATTTTAAAGACAGAATTGCAGAGATGGAAGGACAAAAAGAGATCTCCCATCCACTGGTTCATTCTTCAGATGGATGCAACTGTCTGGGCTGGGCCAGCCTCAAGTCAGGAGCCAGGAGCTTTTCTTAGGTCTCACATGGGTGAGGGGCCCACATGGGGGGGGGGCGGTCATCTGCTGCTTTCCCAAGAGCATTGGCAGGGAGCTGGATCCTAAGTGGAGGAGCTGGAACTCAAATTAGTACCCATACGGGATGCCAACATGGCAGGTTGTAGCTCAATCAGCTTTGCCACAACACCAACCCCATAATAGTTTGTTTGTTTTTTTTTTAAACTATATACCAATAATAGAGAAAGCCTTAAGTGAAGGTGATTCAATTCATTCATTTATTCCACAGATATACATTGAGTAGCAACATTTGTAGCACAGGGAAATACAATGTTGTAAAAGACTCTAAAGGAAACTTGGAAACAAATTGTACAATATATTGGTAGAAGTTACTATTAAAGAAACATTGTGAACTCTTATAACAAGACAGAATTAAATTGTGCAACATTGGGCACTTTGCAATAGCCTAGTGGCTAAAGTCCTTTCCTTGTATATACTGTGATCCCATACGGGCACTGGCTCATGTCCCAGCTGCTCCACTTCCCTTCCAGCTCCCTGCTTGTGGCCTGTAAAAGCAGTCGAGGACAGCCCAAAGCCTTGGGACCCTGCACCCAAGTCGAAGACCTGGAACAAGCTCTCGGCTTTGGATCAGCTCAGCTCTGGTCATTGAGGCCACTTGGGCAGTGGAACAAGTAGATGGAAGATCTTCCTCTATGTCTCTCCTCTCACGTAAATTTGCCTTTCCAACAAAAATAAATAAATCTTTTTAAAAATAAATAAATTTTGTAACATTAAGTGTGATGAAATCTTAAGAATTCCTGATGTAGACATAATTTATGGCCTGCTAATCTTTTGAAAAATAGATGTCTTATTTATGCCAAAGCTTAAGGTAGATAGAGAGCTTAAGTCAAAAATACAAGTAGTTAAATTAAAATACACTATAGCCTCTTCCGGGAAGCCAACAAAATGGCGGAAGTAGGGCAGAGGAAGAGGAAGACCTTTCGCAAGTCTGCCCATCGTGGCTTGGACCTGGACCAGTTGCTGGACACGTCCTTCCAGCAGGCGAGGCAGCGGTGACGGCTGAGCAGGGCCTGTGGCAGGAAGGAGTGTTAGCTGCTCAAGCTGCAGCAGAAGGCCCTGATGAAGACGCACCTGCGGCACAGGATTGTGCCCTCCAAAATGACAAGCAGCGTGGTGGGTGTGTACAACGGCCAGACCTTCAGCCAGGTGGAGGTCAACCCCAAGATGATCCGTCACTACCCTGGCGCGCTCTTCCATCACCCACAGCCCACCCGGCATCGGCGCCGCCCACCCGTTCTTGCCACTTCATCCCCCTCTAGTAGCTGCCAGCAGTAAAGGAACACTGCTGCTGCCACCATCACAAGCATACATTGTAATTAGGCCACTTGATAGGAGGAACCTTTTTTATTCCAGAGAACGGTGGATATGGGTATTATAACATCATAGGTAATCCATACAAAGTTACCAACTTAAAAATTAGACTGGTAGTACCGGGCCCGGCACAATAACATAGTGGTTAAAGTCCTCACCGTGCACACACCGGGCGCCAGTTCTAATCCCAGTTGCCTTCTTCCCATCCAGCTCCCTGCTTGTGGCCTGGGGAAGCAGTAGAGGATGGCCCAAAGCCTTGGGATCCTGCACCTGTTTGGGAGACCCAGATGTCTCCTGGCTTTGGATTGGCTCAGCTCCAATCATTACGGTCACTTGGGGAGTGACTCATCTGACGGAAGATCTTCCTCTCTGTCTCTCCTCCTTTTTGTATATCCACCTTTCCAGTAAAAATAAAAATAAAAATCTAAAAAAAAAAAAAAATAGACTGGTAGCACTGGGTAAATCAGGAATCTCATGTCAGTGTTGGTTCATATCCTGGCTGCTCTACTTGCCTTTTGCTCCCTGATGATAGCCTGGAAAAAGCAGCAGAAGATAGTCCAAGTGTTTGGGTCCCTGCCCGCAAGGGAGATCTGGAAGAGCCTCCTGGCTCCTGGCTTTGGCCGCCACCCCCCCCAGCCTGGTTCTTGTGCCCCCCACTCCCCGAGGGCGTGAATCAGCAATGGAAGATCTCTCTCCACCCTCTTTCCTGTGACTCTCTCCCATATAATTAAGCCTTACAAATAGATAGGCAAAAATGTTTAAGATTAGTCTGCTGTAGATTTGTTGAATATTGACTTATTGAGTCCCACCAATGGATGCTGAGTCAGGGCCAGACCAAATGATTTCACCAGTGTTCCCCCACCCCTGGAAGAGAGAGCAGGTACTCTGGGAAGGCACCGTGGGAAAGCTGTATTTAGGTCCCAACATAAAGTTTCTGGATCAGGAATAGCCAGAAAGGAGCAGAACTGCTTAGATTTTTTAAAGAACAAATTGGCCCTGGTGTGAGAACACAGCAAGTTAAGTCACCAGTTAACAAGGCTGCCATCCTGTATCGAGATGGTGCTTTGAGTACCTGCCTCTCTCTTTCTAATCCAGCATTTCCGTTCTTGTGCCTGCAATAGGCAGCAGAGGGGCTTCCAAGTACTTAGGCCCCTGTCCTGTGGGCCATTAGATCTGCCTGAGGTTATTTGGAGAATAAAGCAGCAGAGAGAAGAGCTATCTCCACCTCTCTTTTCAAATAAGTAAATAGGTATGTTTTTTCAAGTACTTATAAATAAAGACATAGATTGTGCCACAAAATTCAAAAATTCAAGATAAAAATATAATAAAAACAAAACAAAGAATCTTCCTTTTCAATAGAATCTTTATTTAAAAAAGAAGAAGATATATACAAAGGGCCAGGGCTCAGAGATCATGACTAGACTGAGACTCTGATTGAAGATGTTCAAAATATAAAGAAATAAAAGCTTAAAACTGGGAATTTGAAATTCATTATAAGACTTGATTTGAATCTAAAGGAGACATAACCTCATGACTTCATTATCAGTAGAGTGAACTACAGAATTTTGTTTAAGTAGATGTCTACTTTGACATTATAGTTTTAAAACCTTCCATTAAATGACAGCTGAATAATATTGACTACATTTCTTAAATTGATCACAATTAACTCCATAGTACCTCTACATGATACAAAGTCTTATCAGTACCAAAAGAATTCAATTTTCATCCTAAGTGTGTGCCACAGCCAAGAAATCCTCTCTGT